CTTGGGGAGATGAAATACACATGTACTCACCCAAGATAGGAAGCCCATAACAACAAAGTATGGATACCGTCAAAGTCCAACTTGATGAACCAGTGAGTTTTATTTGGATTACTTACAGGAGTATGGGTGAAGGGTTACTTACAAGAGCAGAAGTGACTCAAAGACAGCTGCATCACCAAGGTCCATCATCATGGGTGACAGCTCATAAAAACTGGGAAACCTGGAGCAAACTGTACAGCTTGCAGGCAGTTCAGCAGGTTGGAATGTGTTCTTTCCAAGAAACTCTGGTTTAAACTGGTTTAAACCTTTTCATTCAGCTTGGCTGCTTTCTGTTTTTCCCAGGCAGATGGTCTGGTCTCAGAGACATCTTTGTAACCTCACTTGCCTGAGAGTCTTGCAGCTTTATTGTTTATCCTGGGAGGAAGGGCCTAGTGAATCTGGTCAGTCTCAGGGACTTTATGAATTTATTTTGAGTTATTTACCTTCCTCCTTAAGAAGCATTTCTGCAAGATGGAATGTTTCAATATCTGAGGATACTTAGATGCCAGCTTCCTGTTCTCCCCTTTCTTTCATTCATGAGTAAGTGACTCTGACTCCTTTTCTGGTCACTCTACCTTCTCTGCCTTAATGTTCTGCATCTTCACAGTTGTGGAGCCAGCCACCTATTAGCTGAAGCTCTGAGCCAAAACACACCTCTCCTCCTCTCAGTTGCTTCTGGCATTTATCCAAGTGCTAGACTACCAACTGTAGCCAGAGTGCTCCTCTCTGATGGCAAGAGGGCTCCCAGGGCTCTGAAAGCCTAGCAGAGCAGCCATAGTCTCTTAAGCTACCAACCTTTCCTGTTTCTTGTCTCAAATAAACAACTATTACGTGCTTGCTTTACCGTGTTTATATAGTTTCTTGGGGTTCAGTGGGTAACCTTTCACTACCTTGTTAATGTTTGTGTGTTTTCATGGAGACAGTTTTAATATTTTTGTCTAGATTTTAAAAAATGATCCTTGATGGGAGTATTAGTGAGAATTGCCCATCTGCCATTACTAAAAGAAGTTCTCTTTATTTTTCTTTGTTTTAATTTCAGAATGTTAACATTGAGATTTATTTATATATACATGTGTGTAGGTATGTGCATATGTGTACAGGTGCCTGAAGAGACCCTGGAACTGGAGTAACTTTCTGTGTGAGTGCTGGGGACCAAACTTGTATGGTCTGGAAGAGCAGTATGTATACTTAAATGTTAGACCTTCACTCGAGCCCTCAGACTGTTTTTGTTTATGTAACTCCATAGGTTTTAGATATGCTTATCTTCCTCTACTACTTCTGTAATAGTACTCACACAGGCCAGTTAATTAATTTGTAATGATATGTTTGTAATACTCCAGAACCTGCAGTTAAATATTTTGTAGTTTCCCACTTTCATCTCTATTTTCTCTTTGAGAAATCTCATAAATCTGTGCCTTTAAATTCATCTATATGAATTCACTTACTGTCTTACCTTGGTTTTCTATTATTGTGATAAAACACTGTGGCTATAAGCAGCCTGGGGAGGAAAGGGTTTATTTGATTTACATTTCTTGACTCAGTCCATTGGGGGAAGCCTAGGCAGGACTCTGGAGGTGGAAACTGAAGTGGAAGCTATGAAAGAACCCTGCTCACTAGCTTGCTTTCTTTGGCTCACTCAGCCTGCTTTGTTGACCCAACCAGGGCCACCTGCTGAGAGGAGCCCCCCCACCTCCTATGAGTTGTGCCTTCCCACACCATTCATCAAGTTTGCCTGTAGATAATTTGATGAAGGTATTTTATTAACTGAAGTTTTTCTTCCCAGATGTCTCTAGCTTGTATCAAGTTGATAAAAATCTAACTAGGGTACTAAAAGAGTATGAAATCAGTATATGTTGTGTTCTTTTTGTGGTATCTATTTATGCCTCAATCAGCAGACCTAAATTGAGCTTGTAGAATTTCTTTTTGTTGTTTTACATTTATTTATTTTTATATGTGTGTTTGGGTGGATTTTCTGGTGTGTGTGTGGGGGGGGGGTTGCGTGCATGCACACGCAAAACTGGCAAGAGTTGTTTCTTTCCTACTGTGTGGGTTTTGGGGAATCAAGCACAGATCATTACCCATGAAGTCAGAGCCATCTTGCTGGCCTGCTTATGGCATTTCTCCCAACATATGGATTTCCTTCATTGTCTTCTCTTCCAAAGTGTTTCAGTGTTCTCCTGGCTTAAGAATTATCCAGATAACTTTGGTTCTTATACTACTTATTCTTTTATGTGGTCTTGTTTATTTTATGTTATAAATACTTCTTGAATGTATCCACTTTCTCCAGCCAAACTGCGCCAATGCTGGTTCCAGCAGTTGTGATGGTTTGCTCTGGTAAGCACAGTAGCTTTTCAGGGTTACCCTATCTTTGTTTTCCTCTCATGGTGTGCTGCTTCTCTACTTCTAATTCTGTTTCAACTCTTAGTAGGCAGGACATTTCAAAGCATTTAGAACTACACTGTGTTTCTTCTTATGTGTAAAGGGTTTGATGCTTTTCCTAATTGAGCTGCCTATTTACTGCTAAAGCAAACTTACCTCTTTGCTACAAGCAAATGGATTGGTTTTTTTTTTTTAGTTTTCTTTTTCAGCATGTTTCTCCACACTTCCCAGTGCTGGATGCTGGGACTTCTCTCTTTATTATGCTTCTTGCTTTCCTGCCTCCTCCTGTTGCAATCTCTGTGTATGTTTTCCTTTCTCTTTACATAGGCTGTTACTTCTCAGGAAGACTTTCTTCAACTCCTCAGTTATTATCTGCTAGGGCTGTCATGGTGTCTTGAACTTCCCATCTTTAGCTCTCATCACAATTTTAACAACAGAATTAGTAGAATATAAGGCTCACTCCTGGTCTTGATTGATAGCTAAGTCTCTAGCACTCAGCATAATTCTTGAATGTGATTGGCTATTTCTTGAGTGTCTAAATGTCTGAGAAGAGCAGTAGTCATTTGAAGGCAGAGAACCAGATCTTTGATTTTTCCCAACTACTCAGTACTTAGCCTGACTCTGGTCCTTAACAAATGTGAATGAAATTAAAATTCTGTCAGCCTAGGAATTTGATTCTTGAAAACACCGGATCTGAGAGTAAATGAGGTAGAGTCAACATGGAAGCACTTCAGCATTCCCTGCACTGCTGTATCCTGGCTCCTCAACACCACAGGCACAATAGGGAGCAGCACCAGGTGGATTTTTCTTTGGGCCACCAGCTCACAAATGACATGGAGACTTATTAATTATGAAAGCTTGGCCTTAGCTTAGGCTTGTTTCTAACTTTCTCTTACTTAACCCATTTCTATCAATCTACCTGCTGCCACACGGTGGCTTTTACCTCTACTTTGCATGTCCTGCTTCCTCTGCAGCTTGTGACTCTCCTACGCCTAGATTCATCTCCTCCTTTCTCTCTGCCTAGAAAACCTGCCTAAGCTCTTCCTGCTTGTGAAAACAGAGTTGTCGAACAGATGAGGAAGGTGACAGGAAGCGTAGGCTTCAGGACAAGACCAGTGAAGATGTGGGCAAGGTGCTGTTCCTTCTATGAACTCAAGGGTAGTGTAGAAAAAGATACTGGATGTACAGTGGTCATTATTTAAATGGTTGTTTGGTAAATTGTACAAATAAAAGCTGCTTCAATAACTTAAATTTGTATGATGGTCATGTTGTAATTGACTTTTATTATATAAGGAAATAATACCAAAAAGGTTAGTTTTCTCAAGATCACAAATATTTAACTTTATGACAAGTATCATGATGTTCTGATAATTTTGCTCTGCCAGTCATAAAATTGCTGTATAAGTGAAATTCTCACAATTTCCATAATTAAGCAAAAAATTCTGTTCTGCCTTTATATTATACATACATCCCTAAAACTTACAGGCTTCTAGAGAAGTACAGTTATCTCGATATTTAGTAAGGCTCCTTAGGTTATTCTTTAGCCTTTGATGTACTAAAAGTGTATATTTTAGTATATGTTTTAAATATGCATATTCACATTTTTAAATGGCTATGAATATAATTTATTGTTTAGAAACATCCTTATATTTAAGAAACTCCCTTAAATTTTGTTTACTTCATGGCAATTTATTCTCTGATCAGTTTTATCAAGGGGAAAGAAGCCACATTTATACTTTTTTTTTTTTGAGACAGGGTCTCACTGTGTAGCTCTGGCAGGCCTGAACTTTCTCTGTAGACCAGGTTGGCCTGGAACTCACAGAGATCCTCTACTTCCCAAGTGCTGGGATTAAAGGTGTGTGCCACCACACGGGCCATTTGTACATTCTTAAGTATTTCCTTTTATATGAGAATGTATAAGTTTATTTATTTTAGATTTGTTCTATTTTTAATTATGTGTAGTCATGTATGTATCTGTGTTGAAGTATGTGCATATGAATGGGGTTACCTGCAGAGACAAGAAGGATCCATTGTATCTTTGGGGCTGGAGTCACAGGCAGTTGGGAGCTGCCTGACTTGGGTGCTGGGAATAGAATTCAGGTTTTCTACCAAAGCTGTACAAGCTCTTAGGCACTGAGTTATCTCTCCAGCCCTTATTTTTGAAACAGAAATACAGGAAATGAGAATACATGAGATTGAGCTTTGACATTATTGTGTTCAGTAGGATGACATCTGCATATGGACATTAGCAGTGTAAAAGTTCAAATCCATCAAAGCCACCTACTCCGTTCTTTAAAGGGTTACATGTACTTTTTCATTTTCATCCAGTAAAGCAAAATAGCATTATATTATGCAAATTCTTAAAACATTTAAGATTTCTTAAGAAATTTATCATCAAATGAATTAAATATTAGGGACAGATTAATATGGTCCCCTTAAGTAATAAGAGGTGCATATCCCTAAAGGTTGTATTTAGTGATTTGTGGAGTATGACTGTTGGCTTTCTGCAACCTTGGCTCTTTTAAATATTACCCTTCTGACCTCTCATCTCTGTAAATAGCTAATTCTTTCTGATGATACAGGAAGTCCTGCATGTTGCAAGCGTGGAAATGCAGCTAACGGCTGCAGTGTCATTTCTGACCATTCTACAGGAAGAATCGATGTCAGTCCACACCTATGCACACTCCTTCCTGCAAATCATTCTCCTGCATCTGGAGCACAGGGACACAGGTCAGGTCCACGTATACTTAATTACGCTCTTGTTTATGGCAAATGGCTGTGGTTCATTTGCCATCTATAGGGCTGATGAAAATAGCTGAGGTTCCTCTAAGAAATGCCCTGAGAGAGAACACACTAGAGCGTTCTCGGGGGTTTTCTTTCCTTAGATGTTTTCCTTTACATTTATGTTCATGGAGTTATCATATAGTGAGAACAGAAAACCTTGAGTTAGAATTATCTCCCTCAAATTATTTTTCAGTGTTTTAAAATTTTCTAAAGTTAGTCAAGACAAAAGTTGTGGAAAATGTCTTACAATAGCAATAACAATTATTACTCATATTTTGTAATAAATCATGATTGCAGCTGTTAATGGATGAGTTGAGAGTGCATTTGCACCTGAGATGTTTTAACCAAGCATGTCTGTGCCCATTAGGTGTCAGCAATGCATGGCTGGAAACGCTTCTCTCTGCAATAGAATTATTACCAAAAGAAACCCTGAGGCATGAGGTAATACTATGTCTTTTCTTTTTGTAAATAGTCACTTTATGATTTTTTTTAATAATAAGATTATTTTCCATTGTGAAAGCAACAACACTCATTGCAGAAAATTTAGGTAATTTGTAAAATGTAAGAGATAAAAATAATGTATACTTCTGTAGTTAGCTGCTTTTAAGTTTTTGATAGATATCCTTCAGATTTTCCCCTCCGTGGTTACTGCTTGTCATGTCAGTAATTGTATTGAATCTGGGTGTGGTCCATTTTCACTGAGCATTATTTTCTGTGCATAGTTGCATTATTTTATTTGTTACATGCTGGAAGCTATTTTCAGCTTTAAGTTTTGCTATTGAAATAAGACATCTTGGTAGAGCTTTAGGTAGTTCTTTAACTGTAGCATCCACAAAAGTGTTACCTGGTGAGAGGATATTAAGATTCTTAAACTTTTCACTAAATATGTGAAATTTAGTTACCCTGAGTTTTTATTAAAAATAGTATTCCACTGGGGATGTGGCTTAGTTGGTAGAGTGCTTGCCTAGTGTGCACTAAAGCCTGGGTTTGATCCCCAGTTCATATGCATATGACCCCATGCATGTGAACCAGGCACAGGGTCATATACCTATAATCCTGGTGCTCACAAGGTGAAGATAGGAAGATGAGGAGTTCAAGGTTCTCCTTGACTGCATTGTGAATTCAAGGTCATCCTGGGCTACATGAGACCGTGCCTCAAAATCAATTAACAAAAATGGTGTTCCAATTTAATTTGATAGGCTAAGGGCACACCTACATTTTAATTGGAAAATTTAAATTATACTGTTGGCTGTTTTTTCATATAATATATCAAATTAGTTATATTTTTTCTTTTTTGAGACAGGGTTTCTCTGTGTAATAGTCCTGGCTAACCTGGAACTTACTTTGTAGACCTGGCTAGCCTCTATTCACAAAGATCCTCCTGCCTCTGCCTCCTCAGTGCTAGGTACGCCACCACTGCCCAGCTAGAAAACTTCTGTATCTTTTTTTTATTGTTTTGGTTGTACTTATTCTTTAGAAATTATCTGATCATATTCTTTAGCACTATTTACATATACCATCTCTCTGCCATCTTTTGTTATGTTTGTACATATTTGTATATGAATTATTCCCAGTTGGTTATTTGCCTTTTAATTTCCAGTATAGTTCATTCTGTCCCTCTTGAAAGGTTTTATTTTAAATTAAGATGACAGACTAGAAAAAATAGACAGCAAACTGTCCTCAAGCAATCTTGACTATTATCGCTGTATATATTTCTTTTCAAACATACCATGGTAAAATGTTATTCATTGACATATCTTCCACTGACTGATTTTATTGTGTCTTTGTCATTATAGCTTGTTATTCTATCACAACACCAGAATACTATTTAAAATGACAAGTTATAAAAATGTGTACCTGATGGCAAGTATCTAGACATCACACATATTGAACTGCTGAGCACAGTGCTGAGATGTGTTCTTTGTGTTTTTGAAGAACAGTATAAATGTAAATAAGGCAGTTGCTATTCAAGAGTGATCAGCATTTTTAGCATGTGATCTTTGATAGATTCCTTGTGATGAGAAATAGCAAGGTTAAAAAATGAAGAGTTGGTTCTAGGATAGTAGACCACTATCATAATTCTTTACAGTGTGTCATGCTATTGAATGTTTGAGTGCATAGTATGTGCATAATATAGCACAAGACTTTGGTTATTATGTGACAGAATTTACTAAATTGATTTTTCTATATTCTTTAGGATAAATATAAAACTTCTTCTGAAATAAAATTCAGAGTTTCTGGTAACTAATTTGCTTTTCTCTGTTGAAAATGTGTTTTTGAAATTGTCTTTGTATGCACTCAGATCACTGCAGCATTTGCCATGAGCTTGACTTCAGTGTTTTCTCCTATTTGGTTTTAATTCTATAGTTTGACATCTTACCTTAGCCAAGAAGACAAAGAAACTGCTCCAGGTCAAGAATGGCCATGTATCTCATTGTAATGAATGTTCTTTAAAAGTGTTCAAAACATGAAAATGTTCTTTGAAGAAGTTGATGTTAGTGACAAGAATGTATAATACTTCCTACATTTATTCTAACTTGTTTCCTTTTAGATTCTGAATCCACTTGTTTCCAAGGCACAACTTTCCCAAACTGTCCAGTCGCGTTTAGTTAGCTGTAAAATTTTAGGAAAACTAACCAACAAATTTGATACCCATAGGTAAGTAAGTATAAGTAATTTTGTCTCTTTTATCAAATTAAATTTATTTAAATATGTAATGACTGTATCAACAATGGTTACTTTTGTATTATTCCACATTATTCACAGACTTAACCACTCTAGCTTCGTAGACTTCTCAGACAGAAATCTACTTGTTGGAAGCATTTCTTCTCAGCTTCATGGATTTTCAGACCAAGTCTCCTCAGTCCCATTTCATGTTTTCTTGTGAAGATAAAATAACATTATCTTGGGACTTCCAAAATCATGTCAAGTAAACCTGACATAAAGATAGAGTTTTTTTACATCACTATTATCAATTCCTTATTTTGAATAATCTCATATCAGAGCCTACCTACAGTGTACATGCTGCTCTCTACCTAGATAACAAATGGCATATGTTCACATTTGATGTGTTGTGAGGTATAACATGAGAGTAAACATCAAAACAGAAGTATATTTTGACTGACAGTTGCCAGACATTACATTGCATTGCATTACATTACATTACTAAAGCCTTTTGAATTAGCTATTGACATTTAACTGCTGGGACAGATACTGTTATAAGTTACAAGTAACTGATGATAGTGTTCAAGGTTAATAACTTATGTAAAAATTCATTATAGCCGGGTGGTGGTGGAGGTATGTCTTTAATCCCAGCACTTGGAAGGCAGAGGCAGGCAGATCTTCGTGAGTTCAAGGCCAGCCTGGTCTACAAGAGCTAGTACCAGGAGAGGCTCCAAAGCTACAAAGAAACTGTTTTGAAAAACAACAACAACAAAACATAAAAAAAAATAAATAAAAATAAATCTTTGCTGGGCGGTGATGGTGCATGCCTTTAATCCCAGCACTCAGGAGGCAGAGGCAGGTGGATCTCTGTGAGTTCGAGGCCAGCTTGGTCTATAAGAGTTAGTTCCAGGATAGCCTCCAAAGCTATGAAGAAACCCTGTCTCAAAAAATAAAAAAACAAAACAAAGCAATGCATTATAAAGTGTTAAACATGGTGTTAAAGTATATGGTTAATAAGGCAGTTATGATTTTAAAGAATATTTTAATACTATTCTTTAACAATGTCATATATGTACATATATACATTCATATACATACATACATTCATATAGATATATAAAACATATCTAACCCAAATGCCCCCTTTACTCCCATTAAGCTCCACTAGATACTTCCCTTCCCACTTTCATGTCCTCTTTTTAAAAAATAATCTTATCAATCAGTGCTACCTGCATGCACATGGATGTAGGGCAACCTATCCCCCTACCCTGGAGAAAAGCAACCCTTCTATAGTCATTAGTTACCAGTAGCTCCTCAGCAATGGCTAGAATCTCATGTGTCCCTTTCCCATCCATGCTGGAATGTTGTCTGACTTTTTCTTATGCCAGTAACCACAGCTGCTGTAAATTCATGAGTACAACAGCTATGCCATATCAAGAAGACAGACTTTCACAGCATGTCTTTCCATTTCTGTTTCTTATATTCTTTCTCAGCATTCCCTGGTTTTTGTAGGGCTGTCCAGTTTAGGGTTGAACACTCAGTGGGCACTACTTACTCTCAGCACTTTGACTAGATGTGAATCTCTGTGCTTACTTCTCCTACCGTCAAAAGAAACATCATTTTTAGTTGAGAGCAGCATTAATATATGGGTATAAACATAAATACTTATGAGGCAGTTTGACAACTATTCATTTAGAAGAACAGCTGTAGTATGTTTCCACCTAAGGCCTATACCCTTCTTAGTTGTGACTTTTGACCAGATTTATAGTATAGGCATGGATCCCTTCCCATAGAACAGAATTAAAATCCAATCAGAAAGTAGTTCATTACAACTACAACAGTCTTGCCACTTTTGCACCAGTAGTCACATCTTGTCTCGTGGAGTCAGTATCAAGATCAACCACTGGGTCATTCTATTCTTCATTGGTCACCTGTGTTGTACCTTCTGACACCATGAAATCTAGCCAGCAGGTAGAAGTTTTTATGTCAGTTATGGCTTGATTTCTCTATGTCCTACAAGTAAAATATGTTGTATCTTGAGTATTACGGTCTTAATATATTATTACATGGGAAGCCAAGAACAGTATCACTAATATGGAGCTATCCCACATCTAGCACCAAGATTTTCATTTAATAACCCAGGTCTTCTGTGGAAAGAAGTATTGTATACCCATACAGAGCACTGTCTTTCAAACTCCTTTATAAAACATTGTACCTTAAAAATTACCTGACAAGCTGGGCAATGGTGGTGCATGCCTTTAATCCCAGCACTCAGGAGGCAGAGGCAGGTGGATCTCTGTGAGTTCAAGGCCAGCCTGGTCTACAAGGGCTAGTTCCAGGACAGGCTCCAAAGCTACAGAGATGCTCTGTCTTGAAAAACAAAAACAAAAAACAAAAGAAAATAAAATTATCTGACAAAGCAGTGATTTTCCTTAAAGCTTTTCCATATACCCATAGTTTTGGTAACCTACTGTCTTAGTCAGTGTTCTGGTGCTGTGAAGAGATACTATGACCATGGCAACTCTTATACAAGAAAGCATTTAATTGGACAATTTCAGAGGTTTACTCTATTATCATTATGGCAGGGAGCATGGCAACAAGCAGGAAGACCCGCTGCTGGAGAAGTTGCTGAGAGTTCTACACCCAGATCTGTAGGCAGCAGAATGAGAGAGACACACTTTGCCTGGCTTGAGATTTTGAAACTACAAAGCACATCCCTCAGTGACATACTTCCTCTAACAAGGCCACACCTCCTAATCCTTTTCAAGTAGTGCCACTTCTTGATGACTAAGCATTCAAATATATGGGCCTATGGGGGTCATTCTTATTCATCCCACCACACCCACCTTCCACCTTATTTATCCCACCATTCTCCTGCCTCAATCCCTGTTTAAACCTTTAATTCAGGAACCTTTAATTGAGGAATTCTCAATATTCCTCCTGTTCTATTTTCATATCATATGAACTCTACTTCCCTTCCCTCAAGACCACTTCCTCCCCATCTTATTTGCCTGTTCTAGCTTCCTGATTTCTACAGATACTCCATATTAAACTTCCAAATATTCTCTCTCATATGAGGTAATTTGAAATTTTGAAAATCATTGAAAAATTAGTCTAAAATGTTCATTCATTTACATGTTTTTTAAACCTGTCTTTTTTAGCATTAAAAGAGAAATACTTCCCCTGGTAAAATCACTCTGTCAAGATGTGGAATATGAAGTTCGATCTTGTATGTGTCGGCAGTTAGAAAATATAGCTCAGGGCATTGGGTAAGTGTACTTCCAAATCGTTATACCACACAGTCTTAGATCCAGATTGTGTGGCAAGCATATTCTGCTCATGCATTCCAAGAAAGTGTGCTATTCATTTTTTATGTGCTTTCTTCAAATGATCATTGCAGGCCTCTTCTAATGTGTCTACAGTAAAAGAGATAAGAGGGGGTGTGTTTAGCATAGCAGCATATATTTAATTAGTGCCAGTTTCTTTCTTTCTCACCATGGTTACTCAGTTATAGTTCTGAGTAACCAAGTCCAACAAGGGGCCATATATCCTATCAGGAACAATATCTGGAATATGTTGAGCATTTCTTTTAGATGACTATATTTTTAAGTGTTTTAGGTGGGTTTGCTGTCATCGAAGTATGTCCCTGTGCAATTCCAAGATTTGTGTGCTTCTGGGTCTGTGGTTCTTCTTGCCCTTTGAGGACAAATTATTTGGGCACAAGAAAAACCACATACTGTTGAGAAAGTAGAAGCATAGGGCAGGCAGTTCACCCTCTGCTTAGAAACAGCTCCCAGGTCAGGGTACAAGTGTAGTATTAAAGGAAACATCTAAAAACTATCTTGGGAAATGATGTTTGCTTTAAGGATTCTAAAGTCATTGGTGAAACTCTGGTGTCTTATTTTTAGTAGATACTGCATTGATGATTTCATCTGTTATTGTTTTTCACAGATAAGGACAGTGAGTCTATGACAATGATGGTTTTGTAAAACTTTAGGCTGTTGCTAACAGACTCGGCATAGTCATGTACTTTGTGTCATGTCTGCTAATCAGTTCTTTTGTTTTGATCTCAAAACTATTTTTCTGATAGGTCTTTTGAAATTACATTACTCTTGTTGAATTACTGTGGACTATAATTAACTCAGGTTTATAATTAACATTAAGGTTTAGCTTTTACCTAAACCTATGCTTATGAGCCAGAATCAGAATTTGATTGGACAGTGTACTGCTTCACTTTATAAAGATGTGAAATATGTATTTATTTGCTTTCTTTTACCACCTAACATTTTTCTCCTGTTTAAAAAATGGGAAGACTTAGTTTCTTAGTTATGGTTCTATTGCTATGAAATGACACTGTGACCAAGGCAACTTATAAAAGAAGGCATTTGACTGGGGGCTTGCTAACAGTTTCAGAGAGTTCATAGTCATCATGGTGGGAAGTAGACAAGCATGGCACTGGAGCAGTAGTTGAGAGTTTAATATTCCAGTCAGCAGGCAAAGAGAGGGAGGGAAGGAGGGAGAGACACAGAGAGACAGAGACAGAGAGAGACTGGGTCTGGTGTGGCCTTTTTATGCTCCAAAGCCCACCTCTAGTGATGCACCCTCTCCAACAAGGCCACATCTTCTACTCCTTCTCAAGCAGTTCCAACTGGTGACCCAAGCATTCAGACAGTCAAACCACCACACCAAGGATGTTCAAATTAGTTTTCCCCAAATTGGATTATTCCTTAAGAATTAATGAAAATAAAATTACAGAGAATATACTCAACTTCTGTAGGTTAGAATATTTTTAAGGAACCAATTTTCTTGACCATATATGTACATTTATTTGCTGAGTTCTTTTCGTCTATTAACAAATGCACTTGTAAGACTTTTAATGGTATGGTAACTGAAAAGTAATGGTACCTTATTTCTAGCTGTGACAGTCAGCTTTCCATTGTTGTGACAGATGCTGTAACAACTTATGGGGAGAAAAGGTTTATTTGGAATCATTCTTTGGAGGTTTTTCTCTTACTTTTGGGTCTCTAGGGAGGCAGCCCATCTTGGTGGAGAGTGTGGGGGAGCACAACCATCACTTCTTTACCAGGAAATGAAAATGAAGAAGAAGAAGGGACTTTCTGCTTCCAATGCATGTCTCCAGTGTCTGGAAAACTCCCAATATGCCCTATGTCATAAAGTTCCCATTACCTCCTTATAATAGTCAAAAAACAAAAATGTTTTTGGCTTTAATGAAAAGATAAAGTTAATTATCTTATTAATATTTAAAAGTATGTAAATTTTCACTAATACAGTGTGGTTGAGGATTTAATGAGGTGACATTTTTGAGATGAAAAAGCTGTGAGAAATGAAAGTTTAAATAAAGCTAAAATTAACTCTTAAAAATTAAAATAGGATAGAAAATTCAAATGCATAGTGAATAGTTGTACACAATCACTCTCTGAGTTCAGAAGAGAAAGATGCATTTATGAATTTCATAGAGGTATGCTGTTAGATGTGGTTGGGGAGGAACTGTCTACCATATGGCCAGCTGAGGTTCATGATGATGTTCTGTCTAACAACAAATGCAGTAATTGCAGACAGCATAGAAGGAAACTTCAAGACTTGTGTGAGGAAACTGAAGGAACAATCTTCGATTGAAAGCTTTTTGTTTGCTTTATTTAGTTATTTATTTTGACTGGGTCTCACTATGTAGCCTTTGCTGGCCTGGAGTTCACTATGCAGAACAGGCTAGCCCCAAACTTAGAAATTCACCTGTCTCTGCCTCCCAGTGTTGGGATTAAAGGAGTGTGCTACCCCTCTCAGTTTTTAATGTTTTTTTTAAAATTTATTCATTTGTTCATTGTGTTTGTTTGCTTTGTTATTTTGAGACAGGGTTTCTCTGTGAAACAGTCCTGGCTGTCTTGGAACTCACTCTATAGACCAGGCTGCCCTTGAACTCACAGAGATCCGTCTGCCTCTGACTTCCAAGTGCTGAGATTAAAGACATGTGCCACCACTGCCTGGCCATTGTTATTATTATTATTATTATTATTATTATTATTATTATTATTATTATTATTGTTATTTTAAAGATGGTCTTACTGTGAGCCCTGGCTGGCATGGAACTTACTTTAGAGACCATGCTGGCCTTGAACTCACAGAGATCTACCTGCCTCTGCTATTTTTTTGAATTCTGTCAATATGCTATACTGGGTCTAATTTATGCTATCCTCCTTACTGCATCTAAGAAAGCTGGCAAAGTGTCAAGACTCTCTATATCTGAGTCCGAACCCTTGTCATCAGTAGGAATGAAGTGGTGGCTTTTTGCTGCTTATGACTATGTTCTAAACGTTATTTATTCTCCAAAAGCATCTTTGTACCTTATTCTTTTATGTTGAATATCCAGTGTTGTATGTCAATCTTCTGTGTGGAAACTAATTGTTGTAAAGTTGTACTTCAGATGATTAGAAAAATAACATATGCCCCAAAATCTATCAAATGATTTTGCTTGAATTTCTACAAATACTTATAATATATTTTTCTTAATTAGTTGGACCATTTCTTAAAATTTCTTTAAAATAGAAAATGGCATAATTTATAAAGCTTAATATAAGGTCCAAGTCACTAACGTTTCTGTAGTTAACAGTAGTTTATAGAAGAAAATAGAATTGATTTAATAAAGAAATTAATATTAATATTTATTTAAATATTTTTAATTTTTTGAGAATTTTACTTGATATATTTTATTTTAATTATATTCCTTGACAGCCCTCCATAACTTTTCCTGCATCTACCCCGTGTTACTTACACCCTTGGCTGCTTTCCCAACCAGATGCCTCACTTGGGCACCATGACTAACTGTGCTAATCATTTGTGTTCATTGGACTCTTGCTACAGGTTTGTTGGTCTGACTTACTTTCTTCTACTGCTTATTGTGCAGGACAGAACTGACAAAGAGTGTGGTGCTCCCCGAATTAATAGAACTCTCTAGGGATGAGAGTGGCAGTGTGCGACTTGCTGCTTTTGAAACCTTGGTTAACATGCTTGACATGTTTGATACAGGTAAATCTGCATGTGCAGATATCTTTATTTCTGAAAGACTATTTTCCATGTTTTATATTACTAATAAGGAGCAGAGACTAATTCAGATTTTTTTGTTTAGTTTAGAGTTTTATGATTTTTTTTCCTTTTTGATGTCGTCCATGCTTCTACTCTTACCCTCATCATATCTAGTGCTGCTGTATGTCTCATACTTCTCACTTCTGTCTTCAAAACATAACTGACATATGTAGAAGTTGAAGAATATTTCCTGAGAAGTGGCCCCTAACTTCCTTAACTAACTGATGTCAAATCGTGACTGTAATATGCCTAAATGACTATTCTTTCTTAATAATATTTTAATGCCAGAAATATGGTCATGGGAGGAGAAATTTGGAGTAGATAATTCAGTGGAGATGTGTAAGAAGGTGTTTCTTGTTCTTATGCAAGCCAAGCCACAGAACAGCTAGCTGCTCTACCAAGTGTATACCTAGACCTAGATTGGTGCCTAGCTCTGGACAAGTAGTTCATCAGTATTAACCATCATGACAAGGTAACACTTGGAGGGCTAAATGTCAAGACTGAGGTGTGAAAATCACTTGTGTAATTGTTCGACTGGATTCATTGGGACTATCAACATTTTGTCTGAACTGGGAGGGCCTTGGAGATTACTACGGTATAAACAATAATTTTGTGTAAATATTTCAGGATGATCGTTGAGGTAATATGATAAATCACAGGAGCGAAACTACATGTAATTGGAGGAATCTTTTTGCCTTTAATACTGGAGGCACCCCCAGGATCCAGACTCGAAGGAAATGTTGGCATTGATTTTTTTTTCCTGCTTCACTGCCCTGGGCTTTGATTTTGCAGACCTTACTTTATTTCTTTCTGTTCTTCTTCCTGGTGCTCCGACTCCAGCACATCTCTTGCTATGTCCACTTTCCTCTCTCTGATGTTGCCTCTAATTTTCTTTTCCTCCCTCTTCTCTATTTTTGTCGTATACAACTTTTAGGCTTCTTGTAGTGTCTAGTTCAAATACATTTTCCTCTCTTTTATCTTTTCAAATTCCTTATATGAGAGCTTGGAAGGTTACTTATATGTTTAAACCCTATGTGTTTAGCTAACATTTATTGGAAGTTAGCTATGTTCACTTGTGTATATATTATGTGTGGCTATTTTGGTGCTGTGGGGACAGAGATGGTTGGTTGGAATAAATAGCCTACACAAACTAGATCATCTATGAAACCTGCTTTCAGATCCCTGTCTTTGCCATTCTTTAAAATGGTGACCATATTGTCTCATTACTTTGTGTGTTTAGTTTCTTTGCTGATTTGTTCTTCAAGTTATAAGACCATTTATTATTCTTCACCTAATGAAACTTCTCCCCCTTAATATATTGCTTGCATTGTTAAGCAGTCAATACTGTATGGATTTCATCTGGTAACAACTGAAGATAAGGCCCTTAATTGTGATATAATAGCAGCCATAATAACAGTAACATTTCTGCCCATTAGAACTTCTTATCTCTAAGTGCTGGTGCATGTCTAATAGCTTAATCAAATTTTGAGGGTTTTCAAGAGTACCTGGAAGGGAGACTTAAATATTTCTAATCTATCAGAAGCATATGACCTAAATAGATATATTTAAAGAATTGGTCAACCTCTAAAGAGCCATCTAAAAACTAAAAATACAAAATTAAGCCAGACAGACATGTTACATTTCAAATTGACTTTGATTTAAAAAAAAAAAGGCATGGCATGGGATAAATGAAAGAGAGAATTAGAAGTTTCCTGGGCCTGCCGTCTGTCTACTTTAATTGAAAATGTTAGAACTCTTCCGGTTATTCAGATTGAAGACCTCAGACACCTTATTGTTTTGCTTGTGATGACTCCATTCCTGCATGGCTCCTTTGAAGCCCAAACTTAATGTTTCTGGTGATCTTACTCCTTGTCACTAGTCCTCTTCCTGTCACTGTTATCTGACATTTCTATCCCTGTTAGTCTAACATGAACATTTTCTTCTGGAGGGGAAGAAGAAAAATTATTAGTTTTTAGTCTATTAGTTTCCACATGGTAATGTGAGCAGCTAGCTCTAAGCTATATACTATAACTATATGTTATTCTGTTTGTCTTTCAGATGACAGAAGTCAAACTATACTTCCTTTAGTGAAGTCATTCTGTGAAAAATCTTTTAAAGCAGATGAATCCATTCTTATTTCTTTATCTTTTCATTTAGGAAAGCTCTGCCATGGACTCTATGGTATGTTTTCCAGGGCTTGCAACACTAGCTGTTTTTCTCTTTTGCTCCTACTCCTTTCGTTTAGCTCTTTACTCATAGCACTTGTTCTCAAGTATGTGAAGTCTTTAGAACACATTTAGAAATGGCATTTTCACGAATGGAACCTTATTTGAAAGAGTCAAATAAGCATAGCTCTTGGAATTTCTAGGCATGTTGCATGTTTAAGTTGGAGTGTGCTAATAGAAGGTCAGGTATGTTAACTGTTGGTGTGAAGTGAAAATAATTTTAAAAACCTTTTTTTGTTTTTGTTTTTTCGAGACTGTGTTTCTCTGTAGCTTTGGAGCCTGTCCTAGAACTAGCTCTTGTAGACAAGGCTGGCCTTGAACTCACAGAGAGCCGCCTGCCAAGTGCTGGGATTAAAGGCATGTGCCACCACTGCCCAGCAAAATAAATAAATAAATAAAGAAAGAAAGAAAGAAAGAAAGAAAGAAAGAAAGAAGAAAGAAAGAAAATAAATCTTTTTTTCAAATAATAAATATAGCCTGTGAATAGTTCAGCTTAGAATATAGACCAATACCCAAGGGTTTAGGTATTTGAGAATATTCTTAGCTTGGTGTAACCATGTAAGAATTGAGCTGTTTTCTAGCACAGTAACATACTTCATATGGATTGCAGACACCTAGTAATTGAAAAGTGTTTTACAATATTCCACAAATCCTTATTTCTACGAGAGCTGATGAATGTGGAGTCATTCTGTTGATAAATAATATTCTAATCACTGTGACATTCTCTAAACTAAGTTCTTAGGTTCCTTTTCGTAGATATACATGCATTTTTTTTCTGCAGAGACTTTAAAACATGTACCATAAACAAGCAACAGTATTGTAAGTACAATCCTGATGATGATATCTTAGTTCTCTACAAACTGTGTTAACTAATGTAGATGTGATTCTTGTTTTTTGTAGTTTATGTTTTTAAAATTAAAATATTATTAAAGTGAGCACAAGGTGAAAAATGTGACCTTTTAGCTTTCTTTAGAGTAGTTCTTTGCTCATTGCTATGATTATGAACCATCTGTAAACATTTTGCTTAAATATTTTGTTCTAAATATGATTTTATTGCACTTTGAGTTTCTTTTTTTAAATTTTTGTTTGCAATTGAAATGTTGGACACAGGTTTCACATTTAATGTTTTAGGAATTTTCACTCCAGATCAGCACTTGAGATTTTTGGAATTTTATAAGAAACTTTGTACATTGGGTTTGCAACAAGAAAACGGCCACAGTGAAAATCAGATTCCATCCCAAATTGTAGAGCAGGAGAAGAAATACACTTCAGTACGGAAGAACTGTGCTTACAACTTTCCGGTAACAAAATACTTGTTTGTATTTACGGGCTGTGAAGATTATGACATTAAAATATAAGAGCAGAATCCATTAAAATATTTACATGCTTGACACCTGCTGTTTAGCATTGTATCTAAATATATAGGAAATATTAAGCAAATATTGGCAGAATTTATATTTCTGTATATTATGTGCATGCATTTGGGTTTATAAACAAAATTTTATTAAATATGCTTAATAGGATACAATTTCAGTTTTAGCAAAATGATTATATTAGGTATTGATGCATGTTTTTCTCTCCTTCTCATTCATTTCCTTCCACCTCCACTAGGCCATGATTGTTTTTGTTGATCCTAAAAACTTCCACATGGAACTCTATTCTACATTCTTCTGCCTTTGTCATGACCCTGAAGTACCAGTCAGATATACTATTGCTATTTGCTTTTATGAAGTAAGTCTGAGAATGAATTCCATGGTACACATGTTGATTCTGTCTGTATATTATTAGATGCTGTTTTAATATTATGTATGCTTTATTTACAGACTTGTTATAAGATAGAGATCCCATAGCTCTTTCATGCTATAGTTTTAAGTCTTATTTTTGAATTCCCATAATTCTCTTCTCTTTTTAGTGTGTTTACAAAATCCATTTACATAAATACATTGTATTCATTTACCCATTAACCTATTTTTCTGCATATTTAATATGAATCCTTAGTTTAGGGTAGACACAATAGCTATAATTTTATATGCTTTATACTTTTTGTACTTTGCCCTTATGTTTAAGTAGTTTTAGGGTAAATGGAAATTTGAGTAACAAATTGTTTATATTTCTTGTTTTTGCCGTAAATGAAATATAATGAGCATAGCTTTTAGCACAATCCGTAAATTATATACAAAAGTAAAGCAAACTTTTGTGGTGAACATAATTGATGTTGAAATTAGGGGCCTGTTTCTTGAAGATGGCAGTAAAAACACATGTATGTAGCAATTGCCAGGCATATGTTCATTCTTTGTCTAGTTGCTATGACAAAATACATGACAAAAGCAGTTTAAGAAGGAAGGTTTCCTTGAGCTTACAGGTCGGGGCACATTCCATCATGGAGGGAGCACAGTTAGGAAACAGAGAGCATTGAATGCTGCTTCTCAACTTGCTCTCTCATTTTTATTTAGTCCAGGGTCACAGGCTACGGGATGGTGCTGCTCATAATTAGTGTCTTAGTTTGCTTCTCTAATAAGTACCATGACCAAAAGCAACCTGTAGGAGAGAAGGGTTTATTTGACTTACACTTCCATATCATAGCCCATCATTGAGGAAAGTCAGGGCAAGAACTCAAGTAGAAGCTCAAAGCAGAACATATGGAAGAATGCTGTTTTACAGGCTTGCTCTATGACTCTCTTAGCTAGCTTTCTTACACAGTTCATCCTGGGATATCCCATATCCACCATCAATAAAGACAGTGCTCCATGGAAATTCCCCAGTCTAATCTAGGCAACTAGCTTCAACTAAGCTTCCTCTTCCCAGGTGACTCTGTGTTGAGAAAGTTGACAACTAAAGCTAACTAAGACATTGTGGGTCTTCCTGCCTAAGCTAATGCAATCTAAAAATTCTCTCACAGATGTGTGCTGAAGTTTGTCTGCTGGTGTAAGTCAGATTCTGTCACATTAACAGTCAGTATTAACCATCACAATATGTAAACTATAACTTGTCAATTCAAAAGAGTTACATGACAGCCTCTTTATATTGATATAACATCTTTTCTTTCCTTGTAAATAGTATAGTAAATTCTTACTGCCAGTAAGAATGTTTCATCATCTTCCTTGCACTCTACCACATGTCAAAGCACCACTGGATTAGCTGAGAGAATGAAGGATATTCATAGCATCATTATAAATGTTATTTAAGATTCTTTGGGATGTTAAGTTGTATTCTTCTTTAAAATAGCACTTTTCTGGGACTAGGGAGATGACTCAGTGGGTAAAGTGCTTACCTGAGTGTAAGGATTAGTTCAGATCCCATGTAAACCTTGGTGGGCATGGCAGCCTGCCTGTGATCCACGCCCTCAGGAGGCAGAGACAATACATCTCCAAGGCAACCTAACTAGTTAAAATAACTCAACCTGGAGTCCTATGTTTAAGTGAGAGACCTTCAATATATAAAGTAGAGAGTGATCAAGGGAGATACCCAATATCAACTTTGTGTGCCCACATACATGTGAATGTGCACACATACATGCATACTCTCAAACACATGTGAAAATGAATAGCAATGAAATGAAAATGTAAAAATTGCACTTTTCTGACGTGGATGAAATCATAGTACAAATTCTAGGAAATATTCCTCTTAAATAATATGATTGTTTAAAATAATCACAATGTTACACAGTTGTATCAGCTCTGTAAATTAACCCACAAAAGCTTGCTTTTAGAGGAGGAAAGGGCAGAATGTGTTCTGGTGGATCCTGAAGGTTATTTGTTCATTAGGTTCTCTGAAGACTACATGGGAGTCGAGTCTGAGAATATCTATGCAAATGTTAGTTTCTCTTTTCTCCTTTGTTTAATCTTTGATTTTATTTATATTTTGTAGCAGACAAAGCAACACACACATCAGTATTTCTATAATAGGAGTCACTTTGGAGATGGCTGTTCTATATATTTTATGAATGTTTAGTTTTCATATTATCATAAAGTGCGTAGGCTAAAAGAAATGTTCAGTTCCTTAAAATAAAGGGCTTATTTTATTTTGTCCTTTAAATAATGAAAATTCCCCAGTGTATTTACAAGTTTTCTAATCTAGTGTTAATGCTAGATTTTATAACTGCTAAATTGTAACTTTATTCTTATTTTTCAGAAAATGCCAGTTTGAAAATATTTCTAGCAACTTAAAAACAATCCAAAACCAAAGATTTTAAAGTACTCTCTTTATTCAGGCATCTTCCCATCCCCAACCCCTGTAAACAAAACTGACTCAAGCCCACTATAGTATATATTCTTTTCCACCTTTAAAAGGTAAAGTACAAATAGATGAACTCCTCTTTGCAGACTCTGAGTTTATTTAGAGGAACAAAACCAAGAGCATTGATCTAGATTGACTGTGACTCTATCAGTTCCTCTCAGACCGAGGACAGTCTGACAGGGCTGAGGAAGACTGTTCGCAGTTGAGAGTTATGGCACCCCAGTGGCCTCCAATCCAGTTTCTGTCTTTGAGAAGCTTAAGTGGAAATGAATGCCTATATACGCCAGGTATTCTTTGAGATTCCTTTTATTGTTCTAAGATTTAAAGTGTGAGTAGAAGCGCCTGTGGGTTATTATGGACTATGCAGAAGTTCCAGCTCTGGTAATCTTATCCTTTGCACTTTCTCTCCCCACTTATGCACAACTTGCCCTGTGGTTGCACACACTAGTATGTTAGGAAACAGACCTATGCAACTCAATTTACTAAATATTAACTTTATATTTATGTTGTAACTTATTTTTAGGAGGAATATTTAATAAGACTGTAGTTTAAAAATATGTATCTTAACTTTATTTAGTCTCAAATCTGAGATATTTTATTGTTGTATTTTAGGTATCTAAACTTCTGAATTCTGGCGTATATTTAATACATAAAGAACTGATAACATTATTACAAGATGAATCCCTGGAGGTAATATAAGTTCCCACCCTGGTATTTAATTCTTTGTTGGTAAGCCAGACTATGTCAGTGCTTGTGTCACTGCATCACTGGGAAGGTCTTGGAAATTAGGACTTCCAGGACATCTGCTTTTAAAATGGAAGTGTGTGTTGTTTATTAAGGAAGATTAGGAAGTGCCAATAAGTAGACAAGAGAGGACCTTTAATTAAATCACTGTTAACATTTTGTTACATTTTTCTCTTAATAAGTGTTGCTTTTTTTTTTAACTGTTCACACTTGTAATCAAATCACATTTTGGATTTTTGCACAGTATTATTTCAGAAGTATTTACCTTGTACATAGACTCGTGGAGATACTGAAATTCTTCCATCTGATGCTATGTTTGGCACATTTTATTCACCAAAATGACCATTAGCCTGAGAGGACTTAGCTCATCACATGATACTTGAGGGTGCCACCTGATGTGATAGTTTTGAGGATATTAGTCTTTTCCAGTTTAGACAAATAGGTGCTATATTTTCTTTTAAATAGAAATATACCTAATGTTGCTTGGTCAAAAATATTTCTGTATATAAACTGAAGTGTGGAGTTAACTAATTTAGAAGACAGATAATAACCATTATAAACATAATCAATATCTCTTTAAGGTACTAGATGCTCTTATAAATCACCTCCCGGAAATCTTGGAACTTATGTCTATTGGTGGAGAAAACAGTATTCAAGAAAATAAGGTAAATCTCATTTTTCAGAAAAGTTGCAAGTCTGTGATCTTATTGTACAGGGTGATTGTGAGGAAACAGTGAATGCGTGAGAAACATCAAAATAGTGCTTGCCGTTGTGCTGGCCAGTGTCAGCCTTCTGTGCATTTGTCAGGACCCAGGAATGGCAGGTAGTGCATTCCTAGCTGGCTTTAAAATTTACACAAGGGTTCTAGAGAGATGGTTTAGCAGCTAAGAGCTCTACTGCTCTTGTAAAGGCCTGACTTCCATGCCAGCATCCTTATCGGGCACCTGATGATCACAGGTAACTAAGTCCTGTTTCCAAAGGAATCTAATGCCCTCTTACAGCCTCCTTTGGCATTGCATTTAAGTGTACCATCCCCCATCACCACACACATGCACACAATAAAAAATAAAAATAAATGTATATAAGCAAGTTTGTGTGAGTGTTATGCTATAGAAAGGAAACGCAGGTTACTTTAATAGCTCTGAGCCATATTTGGAAGCATTACTGTGAGACACAATTAATTTGAAATGTCTCAAGCTCTCAGTTTTTATCCTGTTATTAAGGAATTTGAAGGCCCAAAAGCCATAGGTACCCACACACCTGTATTTTCCCAGATGGTGAAACGATGTAGCAACAAAATCTTCCAAGTTACCAACTCATTTCCCCTCAGGCTATTTCCTGTGCTTCTGCTATATGGGTGACACACTGAAGTGGGTAGAGTATTTGAAAACTTCTAAAGAAAGGCCCTTTTCAAAAACAGTATTTCTAATCATTAAGCTTACTGGTTATTTACAATAAATTAGCAACTAAATTAAATAGCACTTGCTGCATAGCCATGTCTATGCCTGTGAAAGCTGCCAGCATAAACTGCTCTCTGCTGCTACTATGTAGTGATTCTACCTACCACACAATTATTATTATCCTTGGAATTTATATTCATATTTTCAGTATTAATGTTTATTATAAACATAACAAGTGGGACAAAGGATAGGAATTTAGGAGGTCAAAACTTACCCAGAGTAATATGTAAGTATTATTGTAAGTATTATTGCACTAGTTCGTATAGTTGCCTTGGTCAACAACCAAGGAAGAATAACAAGTTCATGCTCTTGAGATTTCATTTCCTGGTGTCATAAATTTTACTCATGAATTTTTAAAATATTTGTTTCTGTCTGATAACTACCTCCCAGTGACTGCTGAGTTGGCTTCTGAACTCTGAAGTCCTTCTCTGGTGCATGTTTACATTATATGCTGCAGTTTTGGATTTAGTCACCATTACCCTTCTAATTACTTTCCAGTTGTCTTCTCTGCCTGACTTGATTCCCGCACTCACGGCTGCTGAGCAACGAGCTGCATCCTCTCTGAAGTGGAGGACCCATGAGAAGCTGCTGCAGAAATATGCCTGTCTGCCTCACATCATATCAAGCGACCAGATTTATTACCGTTTCTTACAAAGAATGTTCACCATCATGATGACAAATGTGAGCTCTGAATTTCCCCTGATGGTTTTGAACTTGGGGATAATTTTGTCATTACCAAATTCTTTACCTTTTCAAGATACATGAACCTTAGTTCCTGTCAGCTTGGAAGGAAGGAAAGCATCTCCACAGGTCCCTGAGGAGGGGAGTCAAGTCTCCTCTGCTTCTCTGATTTACTCTCTGCTCTTCCACCATTAGCTGCAGGGAGGTATGAACAGAACTCCATTTACACATACTCTTTGTTCACTACCAGAGGAGTGTGGTTAGACTCACCTCACTCTTTTGTGCTGTTTTCAGAAGCAGTGCATGGTAGCCCAATCTGTCCTCAAATTTATTACATAACTGAAGATGACATTGATCCTCCTGCCTCTTTCTCCCCGATGCTGGCCATAAGTGTATGGCACCAAACTTAGTTTATGTGGTGATGGGGACTGAACTCAGGACCTCATGCTTGCTAGGCAAGTACTCAGCATATTGAGATGTATCTCCTGGGGTTTACCTTAGACTTGTTAACAGTACTTCTGGAGAGAAAGGTTGACAGCACTCAGTAATGTCAGCTGCAGAAGAACCCCTGCTTTGCTCTTTCTTCTGAATGTACCCACAACGTCAGCATCTCACATCTGCCACGCCTTTATTCCCAAGACTCCCCAGCAGTCCCTGTTGTAAAAGGAGCAGCGGGCTGCATCCTGCCACCTGGCTCGCTTATACCCCGAAATAACAACACACAAATTGTATTCATTTAAACACTGCCTGGCCCATTAGTTCTAGTCTCTTATTGGCTAACTCTCACATCTTGACTAACCCATTTTTAATTATCTATATGCCACCACGAAGTCGTGGCTTACTGGCATGAGTCTAGCCAGCATCCATCTCGGGAAGGGGAATCATGGCATCTGCCTGATTCTTTCCTTCTCCCAGCATTCTGTTCAGTCTATTCCACCTATCTGAATTCTGCCCTATAAAAAAGCCAAGGCAGTTTCTTTATTAACCAATGAAAGTAACGCATAGACAGAAGGCCCATCTACTCCAGTTGTTAGTATGCATACTGTGTCTTTTATAGGGCCTAAGGACAGTTGCACTGAAAGTATGGATGCCGTAGTGTAGATAGCCCATTCAGGTGAAAGTAGTAACAACTTGAAAACAGCAGTGTGAGAACCTCATTGTCCACCTTTTACAGCACTTCCCGGAAGGACTGTTTAGCCTGTAGTCCACTCTGCATGCACGATGACATCCTAAAAACGGTTTTGAAAGTTGTTTTTATTTTTGAAAAATATGCAACTACTAGCTTAACAACAGGGCACTTGAATCGTGCTTAAGGTCATAGGTTCAATCTCCTGTAACTGGGCAAAAAGCAAACAAACAAAAGCTTACATATGTTTCTACTTTACAATCTGAGGTATCTTAACTTTTCATTTCATAAAAGGGAAATGAGGAATCCAAGAATCATCTCTAAAATTCCAAATCAGTTTTAGTTTCAAAGGTTTAGAAAGGAGAAAAATATTACTGGTATTATTTTCAACTTAAAAAAATAAGAAGTACAGTATATTACCTACCACCTAACAAGTAAATCACACATAGCAATGGAAATCTGAGAAATTGAAGGTTGTGCTATAGATATAATAATCTTAAAAAAGATGATTTGTTAAGAATAACTTCTGCCACTTTTATATTTATTTAATTGTTTACTATGTGTGCATGTGTATATGTGTAAGGGCACACAGGTACCATGACAATTTATGGAAGCTGTTCTGAGGCCCTTATCATTGATTTCTGTCCCAAAATGAATATTTGCCTTGCATTATAAGACACATTACACAAAACATAAACTGAGCATATTTTCATATGTCTTGAATATATGGATTTGAAAGTTTGTCATACTAAACCAAATAAAAGAAGAGAGGAACAGGCTTTTATTTAGTTGACTGTCTGAAATCCATTTAAGTCCTATTATATTTCTACTTACGTGCAGTTCTTAAATTTTAAGTTCTAAACCATAGCAAATACTGTCCTTTTGTATCCAACAGTTAACAATATCACATAGCATAGTGCCCAGTATAATGGGCACTTGTGTAGATGGAAGAGGGCACAATCAGCACCAACTCTACACTACACAGCTATGGTTACCTGTCAGAGATTACCACTATAGTAGTCTGGGTTTTAGGTGAAGAAATATTATAATCTTGATAAGTATGTCAGGATGGTGAACATGAATTTACAATGGAAACAGTATACTTGGGTTACAGATTTTTCTTTAAGGTATTGGATTTTTCCCTTCAATTTTCAGTAAAGTTTACTGGTTGAATTCGTTTAGAATCAAGGTTCTGTATAGTGGTGTAATGAAAACCTTAAGGACAGAGGGTTTGGAATACTGATTGTAACATGGAGTCCTGCTAGTTGGGATTTCTGTCCTGCCCAGTTCCCACAGTCTTTAGGTTCTAAAGAAGATCACATAGAGAATCTACATTAATGATAAACTGATTGGTCCATTAGCTTAGGCTTCTTATTAACTCTTATAACTTATATTAACCCATTATTCTTATCTATGTTAGCCACATGGCTCAGTACCTTTTTCATTGGGGCAGGTCACATCCTGCTTCTTTGGTGTCTGGACAGTACTGTGGGAGGAACTTCCTTCTTCCCAGAATACTCCTGTTCTCATTGCCCTACCTCTACTTTCTGTCTGGTTGTCTCACCTATACTTTCTGCCTGGCTACTCACCAATCAGCGTTTATTTAAAATGTAATTGACAGAATACAGAATTGTTCCACACCTGGTGTGGGAGAATTATCTGTATTCTGTCAATCATGTATTTTAATAAAACGCTGATTGGCCAGGCAGGAAGTATAGGCGGGTCAACCAGACAGGAAGTAGAGGCAGGGCAATGAGAATAGGATAAGGCTAGGGAGGAGAAAGCTCCCTAGCCACTCCTGTGCAGACCACCGAAGAGGCAACATGTAAGCTGTCACACTGAGAAAGGTACTGAGCCCATGTGGCTAATGTAGATAAGGATAATGGGGTAATATGTGTCATAAGAACTAATAAGTAGCCTGACTTGATGGGCCAATCAGTTTATAACCTTATGGAGTCCTGTGTGTGATTTCTCTTTGGGATTTGCCAGCTGTGGGGTACCAGGCGGGACGGAAACCCCAACAAGCCGGTCCCCTCATGTTACACACACCACTACCTCTTTTTTTTTTAAAAAAAAAAAAAAACAAAGGAAAATATCCATAGTCCATTTTTTGGGGAATGTGGGTGTAGTATTCCAGGCTACTTCCTGCTGGTTGGGGGCACTGATAATCCTATGGGGACCTAAAGAAAGTTTTGAATTATGATCAAGTCCTGACTGGAGTATCCTGTGAGGCTTGATCATCTCAGGCAGCAGTCTTGAATCTGTTCTGGATGTAGAACTCAGACATCTGGGCCATCTGTTCCTACTGGATATTTCTCAGGTGATCTTTCTTGATCAAACCTGATTTTTCTTAACTCAGAATGAATTCACAGCCTCTCATTTCCTGTGGAAACAAAAGCAAAATCTCTTCTCCAAAGTAACATACCTTTTGACTTCAATTTTGAAGTCAAGGTATTTTCAAAATACCTATCTTAGATTAATTTAGCAACATTTATAAGCAAATATCTTTTAGCAGCTGTTGCTTCTTTCTCAGCATTCAAAACAATTCAAAGAGAGCATAATAACATACAGTATCAAGATTCTCTGTGTGTTTTCCATCTTTATATGGCTTTATTTTAAACTCTATTTCTTTTATTTTTAATGTTTGGCTTTTTGAGACAAGGTTCTCTGTGTATCTTTGTCCTGGAACTCACTCTGTAGACCAGGCTGTCCTTGAACTCACAGAGATCTGCCTCCCAAGTGCTGGGATTAAAGGTATATGCTACCACACCTTGAACTCACAGAGATCTGTCTGCCTATGCCTCCCAGTCATTGGTATTAAAGGCATGTGCCACCACACCTTGAACGCACAGAGGTCCGTCTACCTATGCCTCCCAAGTGTTGGGATTAAAGGTGTGTACCACCACACCCAACTACTCTCCTTTTTTCTTTTTTATTTTAAGGACTTTAACCTTTTTCTTTTCTCTCCCAAGCCAGCATATATTTTTAACATACAGTAAACAATTTAGAGGTTTTCTTTGTCTTTGACTCTGTATCTCTTTCTTTTTATGACCACATGAGTCTTTAATTTACTAAGCAATATGGGTAGGATTAAAGCCGTGGCTTTGATGGTTGGACCCAGCCCATTCTTTAGCTTTCTGCGGTTCCAGCCTCATGGCGGAGGTACTGGCTGTAGCCATGTTTATTGCCACAACTCTATGGTGTTTCAAGGTCCCTGCCAGCAAGCAAGATGCAGCAGTGTGCTCACAAACAGCATTCAAATGCTCTGTAGCCAGATCTCCTGCCTGAAAGAGTTAGAGTTTGCCCTGGCAGGGTGGCCCAGAAAACCAGCATTTTAAAGCAGCACAGCTTTTTTCCTGCTATCGCTGAAAACCAAAAAGCATGCAGTTACCTTTTTATCTACACTATTTAAGTATTTCTTGGAAGAACCTCTTAAAAGAACTGCAAGGCTTTACAGCTAAAGCTGAGTCAGAAAGCCTCTCTTAAATGAGAGCACTTGCTTGCCTCTAGCAAGCAGAGCAGACCAGAGAAATTGCTGCTACCAAGAAGCCATGCTTTATTCTATTCTTTTCTGTCTAGAATTACTTCCCAAGCTCTCTCAGGTTTTATGTGGATGCAGTTGTCACATGGGTATCATTCTGTAACATGTGGACCTGCTTTGTTGGGGTTTCTGTCCTGCCCTGTTCCCACAGTCGTTAGGTCCCAAAGAAAATCACACAGAGAGTCTACATAAGTTATAAACTGATTGGCCCATTAACTCAGGCTTAGTATTAGCTCTTATAACGTATATTAACCCATTATTCTTATCTATGTTAGCCACATGGCTCAGTACCTTTTTCGTCAGGGCAGGTTACATCCTGCTTCTTAGGTGTCTGGACAGGATTGCGGGAAGAACTTCTTTCTTTCCAGAATACTCCTGTTCTCATTTTCCCTGCCTCTGCTTCCTGTCTGGTTGTCCCACCTATACTTCCTGCCTGGCTACTGGCCAATCAGTGTATTTAAAACATAATTGACAGAATACAGAATTGTCTCACACCAGCTGGTGGTGCTACCCGTCAGCTAGCTGGGGCCTTTTGCTCTGACTGGTGGCGCTCTCTAATATTAACACCCTTGTGGAGTGTTTTGGAACCTTTACCTCTACATTGACACATATTACAGCTTTTGTGTAGGCATAGGAAATTGAGCTTCCTCAGCCCTGAACAGTGAATAGCATTGCACCTCCTGGGCTTAGATATTTAGTCTCCAGCCATAGATAAGATACCATCACCCAAATTCTTTTGCAATGTACTTGAACATGGGCTCTCTAAATTTCTGCTTTAGAAGTGGCACAGTTTTGGTTATGTAATTGGCACATGGCATACTTCTGGAAATGTTTGTTGAATGTGTAGAAATAATCAATATTCTGTTGACTGAAAGGATTGGTGGCTGAGGAACATGTCATTTAAGATGAGCTGGCAGGGAAATGATAGTCAAACATGGGTAATTTGGATGTGACTATGCAACTGAATTATCTTGTGATAGGACATTTTATTTCCCTGAGTGACATTAGCATTAGGTAACAGAGATCTCCCAGAAGGGTGTGAGCCCAGAGTTTAAAAGATAGTGAACACTTTTCATTTAGCCAATAGCTAATTTATTTGGTGGGGACTAGTTGAGGACGTATCTTAGGGTAGTGAAATTGTCTTTCCTATTTTATTTCTTTAAGAATGTCTTACCTGTTCAAAGAGCAGCTGCACGAACTCTATGCGTTTTTCTACGCTATAATCGTAGACAAGAGCAGAGACATGAAGTCATTCAAAAATTAATTGAACGTAAGTCATCATTTTGAAAAAAAGTTACCAAAGTAGTTGACCTTAATTACATGTACAATGTATTACATATAATTTTTCAAAGATAAAGCAGGCAAATATCTGATGTGTGCTTTTAGTTGAATTTTATAGGTTAATTTGTCTTGGAAATCTTTATGTCATGATCAGAATTTTCATAGATGAAAGTAGTATTTAATCAGAGCCCTCTTTTGTGAATTCTAACACTTAAGAAATTTAAATACATAAATGTATGTTGAAAGGCTAATTTCTACCTTAATGAAATAGCATTTGCAACTAAAGCACAAATAGAATATTTTTAAGTCTAGTAATTTACTTTAATGCTGTTTTAAATATTAATTGAATGAACCAAATGTGGGCTTATAATTCTTTCTTGAATGGTGTTGACAGCACATATTAATGTTAATAGTGAGTTGTGATGATTTGACTATTTAGAAACTAGGTTAACACATGCAAATTTATTGTGATTCGTTAAGGGCCAAACATCATGGCAAAAATCTTTAAGTTGTTAATTCTGGTGGCAAATATATACATTTGTTTAGTGAGCTATTTAATCATTGAACACTTGCCTTGACTATAATTATTCTTAAATATTTTTTAATAAAAATATTATCCAGTACAGACAAGGAAGAGGATTTCCTGACTATTAGAATTCACCATATTGATCATGAATCACCACTTTTCAGGGGGAAAATACTTCCATAAAATTCTATTTAAGAAAAACTACTCAATGTGTGTGTGTGTGTGTGTGTGTGTGTGTGTGTGTGTGTGTGTATAGTTTTGCTCAGTATATTTTTATTTTTCATTTTATGGCCTGTTTTAATTCTGTTTTCATTTTACATTGGTCGGGACTTAAATTTAGGGTAAGTCTCATTTTAAAGATTCTGTTTGGTTTTAAGTATTAAGAACTTTGCCTTTACACAATTATGTGAAAATGAGGAGACTATGCTTTAAAAACTGACCTAAACCATTGTCAGTAATTGTGTTTACATATGGTTTTATCCATGTCAGACACTTTTAAGGAAACCAAGAGAGAACAATTAGTTTAGTTTGGAAAGACTTGGAGGGTTTGCAGATCGCATTTGAATTGTTTTAAGTGTGTCCATTCACTCAGATTGCTTTCCAGGTTTCAATAAGACACTGTCTACAGGGTACTCAGCATATAGGCAATGGTCAAACATAGTAAAGCTAGACATTCAGTCATCACAGTCCATCAGTGCTTACTGGAGTTTATTCAGTGTTAATAAAATCCTTTCCTAGTTTTTGATGTATAAATATTCTAGTCTACAAACCTAGAGTATGCAATGACTATTTTCCTCTTATCTATTATATTTGTTAAATAAGTTACAGGTAGAATAAAACTTTGCATAGTTTTTTATATTTAGTTTTATAATATTTAATTTCATGTAGGAAAAATTAGGTTATGGTATTTTTGTTGTTTATAGAGTTGGGCCAAGGAAAGAGTTATTGGAATAGACTTCGGTTTTTGGATACCTGTGAATTTATCATAGAGATCTTTTCCAAATCATTTTTCTGCAAATATTTCTTTCTACCTGTTATTGAACTAACTCATGACCCAGTAGCGAATGTGAGGTATGTATCACTCTGCAAGGTTTGAAAATACTGCATTTCTCATATGTCCTTTGTGGTAAATGTTTGCAAACTCTCTTAATTAAGTCAAGTAAGGAATTGATGCTTACTTTCAGAGTCTTAGTAGTTGTTTTTGAAGATTGACTTAACAGCCACACGTTTATGGATCCAGCATGGATAATATATGGATGTGTAACAATAAAAATCAGGCTAGTTAGCATTTTTCTTTTCCTTAAATATTTGTCATTTTTATGTGCTCAGAGTCTTCAGACTGGTCTTTTATTTATTTATAAAATATAATAATGAGTTGCTATGAACTGCAACTCCACTATATTGCAAAGGCTTCAAGATATTCCTTGTATATTAACTGAAGTTTTACACCCTTTGCACCTCCTTCTAACCTTCCTTCCTCCTACCCTTCTACTTGCTGATGACCACCATTCTACTATTCACCTTTTTAGCTTCCACATCTAAGGAATCTAAGGAGCAACATACAGTACTCAGTGTTTACTTTATTTCACTTTATGTAACACTTTCCTGTGCCCTTTGTGTTGTAGTAGTGTTTCATTCTTTGTTAGAATTGTGTTTATATACCATATTTTCTTTACCAGTTGGTGGACAGCTCAGTTGGCTTCATAGCCTGGTTAGTAATAGTCTTGGGATAACAGTCTCAGTCTCTTAATTGATGTCAACACCTTTTGTCTTACTGAATTGAGCAAGCACAAATAAAAGCCAGCCTGCCAGTCTGTCTGAGTAATTAATATTAATATGATAAGATCCTTAAAAAGTATTTCTTACTAAAAGCTATAGTCCTTATTTTCAAGAACTTTATAACCTTGTGGGCCCATGAATCAAAATGTTTTCTAGATATGCTTTGGGTAATAAAGAGTAAATTGTGTGCTTCTCTACATAAATGTTTCAATATTTAATTTACTGCATTTAGACACTATCAAGGCTAGGAAAATCCTATATTGGTATTCCGAGGACCCTTCTCCCCAGTGACCAGAGTGAAGTCATTTCTCCAGAGGGGACTTGAGGGTTATTAGTTACAATGTCCCCAGTATCTGTGCTGAGAAGTGGTTGAGATGGAGACCATTGGTGCATAGTATTGAGAATCCCAGAGAAGCGCTTCTTCATTTTTTCATATGCACAAAAGCAAGGGCTACTGTGTAGAAAAAGCTCTCAGCTAAGCATCTGCCAAAACAGCATCCTGGAAACCCTGCAGTGGCACTTAGCTGCCTCAAGATTTGTAAAAAGAAATACAGAGCATTAACCTGGAGAACACACAGTGAACAAATGAATCTAGCAGCTTTAAGATAGACAACTGCCCAGTTTCTGTCTCCAGAACTAGCATAAAAGAAGGAAAGTTGGAGTTTAACAAAGCAGAACATCTCGTTGACAACCTTCTCCTGGGAAGGCTTTCTTCACTCTCTTGGATCTCTGCCCAACTCCCTGGCAATTCTTAGCCTCCTTGTTTCTTCTTAGTAGATCTAGACAATGGTAGAGCCTTAGCATATTTCCCATTTCTCTTCTTCTCTCACTGCTTTTATTATGTTAATGATCTCTCCATTCCCTTGCCTAAACTATCATTTTTATGCATTCCTGACTTTTATCTCTTGCAAGGACATCCACCTGGACAGCAGGCTTACTGAGCTAGCCACAGATTTATAATTCCCATAGAATATCTAATGGGCATCCCAGACTTAATTTGTCTAGCATTCAGTGCTGAGTCTGCTTTGTCTGCATCCCTTCCTTCTGCATTGTTCTGCATCTCAATAAGCAACTGGTTCAACTTCCCACTGCCCAGGCCTAAACCTAAATCCCTTTCTCTCCATCTTCCCATCTGTAGTCCCTGTGGCCACTCTGCTGCTCACAAAAGACATGCAGAGAGCAGGCTTCTCTGGGCACCTCTACTGCTCCTGGCCCAAAGCACCTAAACTCTTGCTTAGGGTTTTCTCCATTCCTCCTTAACCACTTACAGTCTAATCTCAAAACAGCAGATGATAATTAGGAAAGTTAAGTTAGATCACTATACTCCTCTGCTCATAGCCTCCAGTGCTTCTCATTGCATTTGAAGTAGAAGCCAGGCTCTGTACAGTGTCCCACAGAGCCCTGCATGAGCTGGCCCCTTGAAACCACTCAGGTCCCCTACTAAGCTCATCTTTGCTATATTCTTTCTCGAGGCTAGTTTGCTAATTCAGAGACTCACTAGGCACGCCTTCCTTCTTGGCCACAATGCTTTTCCAGACACTTGTGAGAGACTTGCTCCCTGTTTTTCTAGATCTTTCCTTAAATACATATTTTCAGTGAAAACATTACTACTCCAACACTGCCTTTCAGACTGACTCACCACTTTCTGGCAGACATTTTCTTTATATGCATTCTACTTTCCATGCCTCATACCAGAATGTAAATTCCTGAAAAACAGAGGATTTTATTGGTTTGGTTCAATTTTGTGTCTTGGTACCCACAATAATGAATGCCTTATAAATAGTAGGCACTCCACACATGCATGGACAATTGAACTCTAAGATTTTAAAAGATTAAACTTTTTCAGTTGCACATTCCTATTACTGTTAGTTATTATTAAGCTCACTCTAAATGCAGAATGAAACTTTGCTACATGCTGCCCAAAGTGAAATCAGCTCTGAAGATTCCTGCAGACATGCATCTTCTTCAGCAGTTAGAAATGTGTGTGAGAAAACTCCTGTGTCAAGAAAAAGATAAAGATGTCCTGGCTATTGTGAAAAAAGTAAGTGTCTCTCCTGCTTAGAAAGCATGTGTCTTGCAGTATGGCAATGTTAACTTCAGCTTCCCTACCTTAACTTGTTAGGATAACAATCTGTGGTAAGAATTAATACAAGGCAGGTGTGTTTGCTACTGCTGGCTATACCAGTTCCTTTGAAGGGTGTTTCTAAAGGTAATCATTTTTGTTACTAGCAGTATGAGTTCCTTGTGGGAGAGCTGAGTCCCTGTGAGGTGTCTATGAGCCTGACTCAAATGATGATCAATACCTCATTCACTAGATTTTATCTATAATTGTTCTCATGACAATTCAGGAAGTCATTTTTTCTAGAAGAGTTTAGGAAGAACCCTCAGAGTGAATCCAGTGGTCTGTTTGGCTTTGTAAAGGCGCTAGAGCTAGAAACTGGCTGCTTGAGAAAATGCTATTAGGTGGTGAAGATCTGATATCACCCAAGCACATCTCTTTCCAAAATTTATGCCATATGATTTTGCTCTAGCATGAGGATCTGTTATGTGAATTGTTTGGAAATGTTGAAAAACTAAGATAGTAAAAAAAAAATGGGTTAGTGAGATTAAACTTTAAAATGCTTCAGCTTTCAAAAATTGCACTTAATAAGTAACTGACACTGTTAGATCAGTAAAAAGATTATGAATGGGTGTGACTTTGGAACACAGTTTTTTAATGTTTATTGGTGGTTATGGATTATTTTATTAATATCATAGTGTAAGCTCTTCTCTTTGAATACCCCCGGGGAAAGAGTTTCTTTGAGAAATACTTATTGATTGCATTTCATTACTGTTGGATCAACTGTAATTTCTAAAAACTTTCCTTGTAGACAGTATTAGAGTTGGACAGAATGGAAATGTCTATGGATGTGGTGAGTATATTCTACCTTATAGTAAAGAGATACTTACAGTCAGCAAGAAGTTGGCACAAATGATTAACAATGCCGTTTTAAATTTTAAACAGTTTCAGAAAAAAAATTATGAGAAAGATTTATTGGATCAAGAGAAAGAAAGAGAAGAACTACTATTTTTGGAAATGGTATGTTGTCCCATGCACACTCCTTTCTGACTAGCTTTAGATGGACTTTGATAGTACACCTAAAACTACTCTATTTCAGTATTGCAAATTTCCTGAAAGATTGAAGAAAAGTCTTCATTTTCTAAAGTTTTATCTATTATAAATTGGAAGAAAAAATATAGTTGACAGTGTTTAGGAAAATGAGTTTCTTAAGTGAAACACATGTATTCAGTCTTAGTTGAGACATTCCCACCTGCCCCTGGCGATCTATTCTCAGCATTCATTGAGTAAGTCTCTACCACTCTGGTGATTATATTTTCTGGAACTCATGTTGTTTTAAATGTCCCTGATGCCAAAGATACAAACTAGTGTTTTGTTTGTTTATAGGCCATCCTATCTTGTTTTTTTCCAACTTTTACATCAAAATTACTTTTTTCTTTTTCTTTTTTTATTGAACTTTACATTTTTCTCTGCTCCCCTCCCTACCTCTCCCCTCTCCCCTTTAGCCCTCTCCCAAGGTCCCCATGCTTCCAATTCACTCAGGAGATCTTGTCTTTTTCTATTTTCTATTTCCCATGTAGATTAGATCTGTGTAAGTCTCTCTTAGTGTCCTCATTGTTGTCTAAGTTCTCTGGGATTGTGGTTTGTAGGCTGGCTTTCTTTGCTTTGTTTAAAGACTACATAAGAGCGAGTGCATGCGATACTTGTCTTTCTGTGTCTGGGTTACCTCACTCAAAATAATGTTTTCTAACTCCATTTTCCTGCGAAATTCAAGATGTTGTTATTTTCTCTGCTGTGTAGTATTCCATTGTGTAAATGTACCACATTTTCCTTATCCATTCTTTGGTTGAGGGGCATTTAGGTTGTTTCCAGAGTCTGGCTATGACAAACAAAGCTGCTATGAACATAGTTGAGCACATGTCCTTGTGGCACAATTGAGCGTCCTTTGGATATATACCCAAAAGTGGTATTACTGGGTCTTGAGGAAGGTTGTTTTCTAGTTTTCTGAGAAATCACCACACTGACATCCAAAGGGGTTGTACCACCTTGCATTCCCAACAGCAATGCAGAAGTGTTCCCTTTTCACTACAACCTCTCCAGCATAAGTTGTCAGCAGTGTTTTTTATCTTGGCCATTCTTACAGGTGTAAGATGGAATCTCAGAATTGTTTTGATTTGCATTTCTCTGATGGCTAGGGATGTGGAACATTTCCTTAAGTGTCCTTCAGACATTTTAGATTCCTCTGTTGAGAGTTCTCTGTCTATGTCTGTACTTCATTTTTTTTATTGGATTATGTGTTCTTTTGGTGACCAATTTCTTGAGTTCTTTGTATATTTTGGAGATCAGTCTGATGTGGGGTTAGTGAAGATCTTTTCCCATTCTGTAGGCTGTCATTTTGTCTTGTTGACCATGTCCTTTGCTTTACAGAAGCCTTTCAGTTTCAGGAAGTCTCATTTATCAACTGTTTCTCTCAGTGTCTGTGCTGCTGGGGTTATATTTAGGAAGTAGTCTCCAGTGCCAATGCATTCAAGTGTATTTCCCACTTTCTCTTCTCTAAGGTTCAGTGTAGCTGGCTTTATGTTGAAGTCTTTGATCCATTTGGACTTGAGTTTTGTGCATGATGATAGATATGTGTTTATTTTCATTCTTCTACATGTTGATATCCAGTTATGCCAGCACCCCTTGTTAACTATGTTTTTTTTTTCCATTTGATATTTTTTGCTTCTTTGTCAAAAATCAGGTTTCGAAAATGTGTGGATTGATATCCAGATCTTCTATTCGGTTCCATTGATCCTCCTGTCTGTTCTTATGCCAATACAAGGCTGTTTTCAGTACTGTAGTTCTGTAGTAGAGTTTGAAGTCAGGGATTGTGAGGGCTCCAGAAGTTTTTTTATTGTACAGGATTGTTTTGGCTATCCTGGTTTTTTTTTTTTGCTTTTCCATATGAAGTTGAGTGCCATTCTTTCAAAGTCTTCGAAGAATTTTGATGGGCATTGTGTTGAATCTGTAGATTGCTTTTGGTAAGATTGCCATTTTTACTATGTTAATTCAGGAGCATGGTAGATCTTTCCACTTTCTGGTGTCTTCTTCAATTTCTTTCTTCAAACATTTAAAGTTCTTGTCATACAAGTCTTCTACTTGTTTGGTTAGAGTTACTCTGAGATATTTTATGCTACTTGTGGCTATTGTGAAGAGTGTTGATTCTCTGATTTCTTCCCCAGCCCTTTTATCATCTGTGTACAGGAGGGCTACTAATTTTTTTTGAGTTAACCTTGTATCCTGCTACATTACTGGAAGTGTTTATGATTTGTAGAAGTTCCTTGGTAGAATTTTTGGGATCACTTATGTAAACTATCTTATCATCAGCAAACAGTGAGAGTTTGACTTCTTTTTTTCCAATTTGAATCCCCTTGATCTCCTTTTGGTGTCTTATTGCTCTATCTAGGACCTCAAGAACTAAATTGAATAGATATGGAGAGAGTGGACAACCTTGTCTTTTTCCTGATTTCAGTGGGATCTCTGGCAGTTTCTCTCCATTTAGTTTGATGTTGGCTGTTGGTTTGCTGTATATTGCCTTTATTATGTTTAGGTATGTTCCTTGTATCCTTGCTATGTCCAAGACCTTTATCATGAAGGGATGTTGTATTTTGTCAAAAGCTTTTTTGACATCTAATGAGATGATCAAGTGGCTTTTATTTTTCAGCTAGTTTATATGGTGAATTACGTTGACAGATTTTCATATATTGAACCATCCCTGCATCTCTGGGATGAAGTCAGCTTGATCATGGTGGATGATGGTTCTGATGTGTTCTTGGATTCAATTTGCCGGTATTTTATTTAGTATTTTTGCATCAATGTTCATGAGTGAGATTGGTCTGTAATTTTCTTTCTTAGTAATGTCTTTCAGTGGTTTGGGTATCAGGGTAATTGTAGCCTCATAAAAAGAGTTTGGCAGTGTTCCTTCTGTTTCTATTGTGTGAAATAATTTGAGGAGTATTGGTATTACTCTATCTGAATATAGAGTAATAATATAATATAATATTATATAATATAATATTATATAATATTATATTATTATATAATATAATAGATAATTAAACTATCTGGTCCTGGGATTTTTTTTTTGGTTGGGAGACTTTTGATGACTGTTTCTATTTCCTCATCAATTATAGGACTGTTTAATTTGCTTCTCTGGTCTTGATTTAATTTTGGTAAGTGATATTTATCCAGAAAGTTGTCCATTTTCTTTAGGTTTTTCAATTTTGTGGAGTACAGGTTTTTGAAATATGACCTGATGATTCTCTGTATTTCCTCCATGTCTGTTGTTATGTCCCCCTTTTCATGTCTGATTTTGTTATTTTGGATATTCTCTCTCTGCCTTTTGGTTAGTTTGGATAAAGGCTTGTCTATTTTGTTGATTTTCTCGAAGAACCAACTCTTTGTCTCACTGATCCTTTATATTGTTTTCTTTGTTTCTTTTTTGTTGATTTCAGCTCTCATTTTAATTATTTTCTGCCATCTAGTTCTCTTTGGTGAGTTTGCTTCTTTTTGTTCTAAAGTTTTGTAGTTTTCTGTTAATTCACTAGTGTGGGACTTTTCTAGCTTCTTTATGTAGGCATTTAGTGCTGTGAACTTTCCTCTTAACACTGCTTTCGTTGTGTCCCATAAATTTGGGTATGTTGTGTGGTCATTTTCATTAAATTTTAGGAAGTCTTTAATTTCTCCCTTTATTTCCTCCTTGACCCATTGATATTCAGGTGAACATTGTTTAATTTCCATGTGTTTGTGTGTTTTCTGGAATTAGTATTGCTGTTGACTTCTAGTTTTATAACATGGTGATCTCTTAAGATATATTGGGTTATTTCAATTTTTTTTGTATTTGTTGAGGTCTGTTTTCTTACCGAGTATGTGGTTAGTTTTTGAGAAGGTTCCATGAGGTACTGAGAAGAAGTTACATTCTTTTCTGTTTAGATGGAATATTCTATAGATGTCTGTTAAGTCCAATTAAGTCATAACATCTGTTAGTTCTCTTATTCTTTCGTTCATTTTTTTTTGTCTGATTGACCTGTCCAGTGGTGAGAGGGGAGTGTTTAAGTCTCCCACTATTAGTGTGTGGGGTTTAATGTATGATTTAACCGTTAGAAGTGTTTCTTTCACATATGAGGGTGCCCTTGTATTTGGGACATAGATGTTCAGTATTGAAATTTCTTCTTGATGGATTTTTCCTGTGATTATTATGAAATGACCTTCTTTGTCTTTTTTGACTGGTTTTAGCTTGAAGTCTATTTTGTTAGATATTAGGATAGCTACACCCACTTGTTTCTTAGGTACATTTGATTGGTATATTTTTTTTCCCCAACCCTTTACTCTGAGATGATGTTTGTCTTTGAGGTTGAGATGTGTTTCTTGTATGCAGAAGAAGGATGGATTCTGTTTTTGTATCCAATCTGTTAGCCTGTGCCTTTTTATAGGTGAGTTGAGTCTGTTTACATTAAGGGATATTAATGACCAGTGATTTCTATCTCCTGTTACTTTAGTTGTCATTGTTGGTGATGTTAATTTGTGTGTTTTCCCCTTCTTTGGAATTTGCTGCTATGAGACCATCAATTGTCTGTGTTTCTGTTGGTGTAACCAACTTCCTTGGGTTGGAGTTTTCCTTCTAGTATTTTGTGTAGGGCTGGGTTTGTGGTTAGGTATTGGTGAAATCTAGATTTGACATGAAATATCTTGTTTTGTCCTTCTATGGTGACTGACAGTTTTGTTGGGTATAGTAGTCTGGGCTGGCATCCATGGTCTCTTTTAATGTCTACATAACGCTTGACTAAGACCTTTTCATTTTCATTGCCTCCACTGAGAAGTCAGGTATAATTCTGATAGGTCTACCTTTATATGCTACTTGGCCTTTTTCCTTTGCAGTTCTTAATAGTCTTTCTTTACTCTGTATGTTTAGTGTTTTGATTATTCTGTGGCAAGTGGACTTTTTATTTGGATTTAGTCTATTTGGTGTTCTGTATCTTGTATCTTCATAGCATATCTTTCCTTAGGTTGGGAAAATTTTTTTCTATGATTTTGTTAAATATGTTTTCTATGCTTTTGAGTTTAACTTCTTCTCCTTCTTCTATACCTATTATTCTTAGGTTTGGCCTTTTCATGGTGTCCCATATTTCCTGGATATTTTGGGTTAAGCTTTTGTTAGATTTAATGTTTTCTTTGATTGACGAGTCTATTTTCTCTATTGTATCTTCAGTGGTTTAGATTCTCTCTTCCATCTCTTGTATTCTGCTGTTCATGCTTGTATTTGTGGTTCCTGATCATTTTCTCATTTCTGTTTCTATAATTCCCTTGGTTTGTGTTTTCTTTATTGCCTCTATTTCTGTTTTCAAGTGCTGACTAGTTTCTTTCATATATTTGATTTTTTTCTTGGTTTTCTTTAAGTGATTTGCCAAATAGAAATTGAAATGGCCATACTTAAACATATGCTATGTTGATGAGAACCAATGAACACCTTGGAGGAAATAAATACTCATTATAGAGTGATACCAAAGTCATTATTTTAGTTGAACAAACTCCGCAGAGCAATATTCTGTGATATAAAATACCACAAATTAAAACAGTGGCAAACCTCCAAATTCTGTACCAAGGTAAAGCCCCATTTTTAGAGGTATTTTTTTGTGAGGTATATTTATATCTCTGAAGGCCAGAATCATTTTCCCCAGAACAAACTCCCATGCTGCACCTGTAACAGGTCACTGTATCCCAACAGGAACAGCTTGAGAAGGAGAAGCATCAGAACGAAGGGAGGTCCTCCAGTGAGAAAAGTTTTGAGAAGAAACGTAAGTGGTTCTGTGTCTTCTCACTCAGTTACAGGTGACTAGGGAAATCCAGGTCCCTTTCTGGGAATCTTGTTAATACAGTCATTTAAGAATACATGCAAAAGGAAGCTCAAGAACAACTTCATTGGTTTTAAAAGAAAAACCTGGGGAATGGGCTGTTAGTCTAAGTAGCTGCCTGGAGGAGGAAGATGGAGAAGAGAAAGAGAAAGCCAGGAGATTAGCTGGAGTGATGGACAGGAAGGCGTATGGTGGGGAGGGGAGCTTTAGAGAGGGTGAAAACCAAAGCCTTAGGGAAAGCAGGCTGAGAAATGCAGACCTGTGTGAAGCTGTGTGCCTGCAGTTCTCTGTAAGCAACTGCACAGAAGCCAGGAGTTCTGGGGAAAAAGGTAAACCATTAGAGGGATTATTATTCTTCCCTTCTCTTTATCAAGGCAAATCTGCCTTCTTGAAGCATGATGATTAGCCAGGTTTTTGACCACCAGCCCAATTGGATTAGCTTTTAAGGGAGCAGACTCGGGCTCATTCAGAGATTGATTCCATTCTTTTGACATTTAGGCAACCAATGCTACAGTAACTCTGTATCTTTGTATCCTGAAATACTGTGTGGAGCTTTAATTTGGTAGGGAAAATTACTTTTTTTGCTTTTAAAATGAAGTTACTTTTGAAAATTGGCTGACTAATGTGGTATAGGTATTAGGAGTACATAAGAAAAGGGAGGCAACAGTGTGAGGCCCAGAGTCCCTTGGAAGGGAAACCTTAATCTTGGATGACAGTTATAAGGTTGTGAAACTGATCCTCAATAGCGGAGACTGAACCATGGAAAATATAAAGTAAGAGTATTTGGGAAATAATGCTGATTAAATAGGGATAGTGAATTTCACAGGAGTCAGATGAAGTTACACAACTTAAAACAGAGTTTATTTTAGGCAGAGACCCTAGGACACCAGCGCAGAGTCTACCCAAGAACATCCCTGTTTCTGTTCCTGGACCATCTAGCACTCCATCAACAAGTAAGGACTCATTCTGTTTTATGGTTCATATAATGTTTGTTTTAAAAGACAAATTGCAGTTTTATTTGCTTTTAGATTATATATATATATGATTTCTTAGGTGTCTTTTCATTTATTTTTTAATAGTAAAAACAAAAATGAAAATTTATTCAATGTGGCTACACTGGAAAGACGAGTAAGGTTCTAGTGACATCCACCTTCCCTCACTGCTAAGATCATTTCCAGGGTCCTGTTATGAGGTTCAGGTTTAATTAAATGTGAAAGTTATGCATATCTGAGCAGTCAAGGTCACTTTGTAGTCCTCTCTGCCATTGACTCACTGTCTCCTTTCTCAGGTGATCTGACAGAGTGTAGATCCCTTATCCAGGAATTTAGCCTCTCCCTTCATCCTGCATGAAATTCCTGGGACACTCTAGTTTCTTGAGGTCTGCTGTTTCAACATTTTGATGGCCAAAGGGTGGGTCAGAGTTATCTGTGTAGAACATTTTTATCCCTGCCAGGCCATTACACTTTCACTTTGAAGGTGCCCTAGCTTTTCCAGTTAGTTTCCCCATTATTCCTCATGGGTCATTGAGTGAGAATTACTGCAGTCAGCTCAGACTGAAGAGCGGAGACCTCACCCATCTGGGTTTTTCTGGACTTGGTAGGATTTGAGGAGGACTAGGGGGTTGGAATGGTAAAGGGGAAACTGAGAGTTTGTATTTTCCTTCATTCTGCTTCATTCTAGGCAAAGAAATCAAGAAATCCAAATTGATTCGAAGCCAATCTTTTAATAATCAAGCTTTTCATGCAAAATATGGCAACTTAGACAAGTGTGCTAGGTATGTGCTGTCAACTGTTTGTTCTTAATTGGAGTTTTTATCTTGTGGTCACCCTATTTATTTACATATTACATATGTAAATATTTACATCACAAAATCAGAATTAATTTGAATTTTTTATGGGCTGACAATTTATCAATTTCTTCTGTAAAGATTATCACACTAGAAATAGAAGGTACTTAAAGGTATTTACTATTTGTATCAAAATGAGTATCTCAGGAAATCTTTTCTCAAGGAAAAAAAATAAAAAAATTTCAAAGAAGATGGGTATCTTTGCACTGTAGGTGACTGTTACCATGACATTATATGACAATATTACAGAATATAGCCATTCCCTATGAGAAAGGTGGAATATATTATACATACCTTTTAACTTCCAAATTAGTGTGAGCATTTTCTATTTGCCAACAGGCTGCACATTCAAGTACATTGAATCATTTCTACATATGGAGAAGCCACAGGTGTGTTTATCCAGTAGGCAGTCACAACGGAGTTCTGATAGTAGATATATAGCTGCTTTTTGTTTATAGCCCAGGTCAAAATTATAACCAGCTAAGATTAGAAGAGAATCGGCATGATTAAACTACCATGATTTGTAATATGTGTTAAATACATATAGCATTAACAGCTGTAGGTCACTGGAAAAGCCAGGCAGTTTTAAGAAAACATGAGGTTGCCTGCACAAAACCTCTGCACAAGATTAAGCGCCAGTCAGTATTCTGGCATGGAAGGTGTAGGGACTTATGAGCCCTTACCCCTAACTAAGCAGCTCCTGACAGCAGATGGCTTCTTGGGGGAGCAGGTTTGTTTTCTTTAAGGTTGTGGTCCCTGCTGGATCAACTCTGTTCTGGTGGATGGTCCCACACCTGTGAGTATATGGGAAGTACAATTTGTACTTGATGGATTATTTAAAAAAAAAAAAGACATGGCATTGGGAGATATGGTGGGAAGATAGAAAAGAGAGGGATCCAGGAGGAGATAGGGGGAGAACTGCAGGGAAAAATATAGTCAAAATGCATTGTATTAAATTCTCAATTAATAAAAATATTTAAAAGATATTGATATAAAATATTACATATTATTTATTCTATATTTTATATAATTATTATATTATTAAATTATATCAAAAGATATTGAAAATTAGAAAGAAAGCACAAATACTTTAAAAATATTATTTCTCAAGATAAAGAACATGCTGAATTGATAGGCCAGACTTTGTAGACTCCCTATGGGAAGCCTTACTTTTTCTGAGGAGTGGATAGGGGTTGGGTGGGAGAAAGTGTGGGGGGAGAGAAGGAAGAGGGAACTGTTGTTGGTATGTAAAACGAAAAAAAAATTAAAAGAACATGTTGAAGAAAAATATGTTTTGTTTTTTTCTGTTATTAATCATACCTTGTTCCAGACTTTCAGCTCTAGCTTTTGGTATCATCAGTAGATCCATGCATTTTTCCTAGCCAACAGTGTTCTCGGGATGTATAAACAGGACTGTAACTAGTCCCAGGAAGGCTTTACTCATCTTACCTAGATTTGCTGAGCATCAGAAGAAAATCTATAGTTTTGATAAAGCAAAGGAAATGCTTTTAAGTTGTAGAAAGTATGTTTTTAGAAGCATGGAATGTAAAAAAAATACTAAATACAACAGGTGTATTTTATAAGAAGTAGAAGAAAGTATTTTCAAAACAAGGTTAAAATCCAAAGTTAGGTAGCTAAGTCTGAAAGTGTGGTTTTAGGTTCTAACTATGTCACTTTTTTTTTCCTAGTAAAAGCTCCACCTTAGCTCACACACCTTCCGTCTCAGGGCTGGTGAGGACTGCCATGCTTTCACTAACTGGTAAGCAGCAGCATACACTCTGCCCAAAATAGCTGCTTTAGTAAAGTATTATTTACTTTAAACGGTACATCCTTCTAATTCTAGATATGATGCTTTTTAAAAATTTATTTCTTTTTCTGTGCATTGGTGTTTTGTCTGCATGTGTGTCTGTTTGAGGGTTTCAGATCCCCTGGAACTGGAGTTATAGACAGTTGTGAGCTGTCATGTGGGTTTTGGGAATTGAACCCAGGTACTTTGGAAAAGCAGTTCGTGCTCTTAACCTCTGAGCTATTTCTTCATCCCCAAGATGTTTTTCTTAAATGTGTGTCCTCATCAAGTCCTTAAGCAATAAACTTTTCCTGTCACTGGGGAAACTGAGGTTCCCTTTGGGGGGTCTTAGTTTCCTTAATAAAATAATTTATAAATAGACTTGAAACTGGAGGATAATTTTATTAGAATTTAAGACAAAAGCAATAGGGCAAGCAAGATGGAAATCTTAGCAGTTGCCAGGAGAATAGAAATGGAAAAAGGAAAAATAGGAAGCCAAGCTGTCTGAGTTAAGGCAAGGTGGCAGGCAAGCAGCCATAGGATGGGGAGGGATGCTTTAGAGAAGGAATAAGAAGTTCAAAGTACCAGAGAAAGTGTGCTTGGGCTCTGGCCAGCGTTGGAGAGGAAGAAAAGGGGAAAAAAAGAAAATCTAGGCCTTTCTGTATCAGGTCACAGGAAGTTGGGCAGATCCAACAGAACCTCAGGGGGCTCTGAGGAGCAGACTATGGTACGTTTCTATCCAGAGGTAGATGCCATTCTTTTTGCTAGGATGCGGCCATTTTCTCTTAATGGGCCTTTAGTGCTACCATAACACAGCAGCTGAGGAAATACTTGACCATATACTATTTTAAACTGTATCAAGACTCAGAGTTTAACACTTGTAAAGAGAGAGTAAGGACTAATTATCGATTAGTTAGACTATGATCAAAGGGCCTGCTGAAGACAGACATTTCCAGTAATTTATAAGGAAGTTGGGCAGAATCCATTTACCATCTTATTTACCTGAAAGTTTGTTTCAAGGGCCAGAAGATTCATTTAAAGGTCAGGTAGTAAATGTTTTAGCTACTGTGGTCTAGTTACAGTCCCTCAACTCTTGTTGTTCCAGTGTGACAGCAGCCATAGGTGTTGCCTGCTGAATAAATGTGACTGTGCTCTATAGCATCTTAAGTGCCCAGGCGGGCATTTGTTTCACAATATGTAGTTTGCCAACTTGTGGATTTTACAGTCAAACATAGAATTATTCATAGAAAAAACTAGGATATATTACTAAAAATTACTTGTGGCTATATATATATATATATTCCTAATTTTGTATATATTGGTTGAGAGCTATAATAATGATTGATAAATACTAAGATAAATAGTAGTAACCCTTAATTTCAGAGGGCCTGAAATTTTAAGAGTTTAGTAATCTTTTGTTTTTAAGTTTTATTTTGAGTATTCTGTCTTCCTTTTTACTATATTAATTTTCTTGTCATGAAAAATATGTATATATATGAGATAGTTTGAAAACAGTGTTTTCATTTCTAGAACAGAAACTCTTTCTATAATCAAAACATTGATATTCGCACAAAGACGTCAACATGGTAGACCAGATTATCACTAGAAATCAGATCATGGTACTTGTATAGTGATGTCACCATATCTCGTGGTACATTAAAAAAATGGCACTAGGCCCATTGGGTACTTATATTATGAAACCCCAAACTTCAGCCTCAATTAATATCTGGCATTATATAGAAACCATTAGCTCACTATGTAAACTTAGACACAAAAGATAAAATTACAATTTTTTAAGAAGTTATGGAAGAAAGTCTGGAGCAGGTAGATATGTCTATTAACCATAGCAGTAAAGGAGTGACATATTGCATCATCTGGGCTTTGAGATAGGGCCATAGAAAAACATGAGTCAAGACCTGGCTTGGAGAAAATATGCATAGTGTACCTTATCTCAAAAAGATTTGTGTCAAGAATGTTCAGAGAAGACTAGGCAGCTGAGCTTAAAATGGACAAAAGATTTGAATGTGAATTTTTAGAGATAAAGATATAACTGCATAAAAAATGCTTTACATCACCAATCATTAGGGAAGTACAACTAAAAAACAGTGAGAAAGTGGAGCATAGCAGTGTTTGCCTGCAATCCTACACTTGAGAGTTGGAGGCAGAAGTATCAGGAGTTAATTCATCCTTGGCTGCATGCAATACTGATGCAACCTGGGCTGTAGGAGACCTTATATTAAAACAAAACAAAGAAGTAGCTATGTGGAAAATACTGTACTGCTTGTTGCTTATAACATGTTTGAAAATGAAATGCTTATAGTATGACTTTCAAGGATGAAGAGTACTCTGCAGACTTCCATACATAGAGAGGGAGAGGAAATGAGAAAGATAGGAGCTGGATAATGCTTTGGCATTTTTTTTCTGAAGTTAAACACACTCAAAAAGAGCACATTTATTCCTAAACATTTATTGAAAAATATTAAAACATAGCCACATACAGATGTATACACAACTGTTCATAGCAGTTTTATGTATTATAGTCAAGAACCAGAATCAAGCTGGGTGGTGGTGGCGCATGCCTTTAATCCCAGCTCTTGGGAGGCAGAAGCAGGCAGATCTCTGTGAGTTTGAGGCTAGCCTGGTCTACAAGAGCTAGTTCCAGGATAGGCTCCAAAGCTACAAAGAAACCTGTCTAAAAAAAAAAACCCAAAAAAACAAAAAAACAAAAAACAACAACAACAACAAAAAAAAACACCAGAATCATCCAATTGCCTCTAAATGAATTTTTATTAGGAAAAATGTTAGCCCATCTATACAACACCAGTTATGAAGTGCTAATATTCCTATACAGATGAACTTCAGATATACTGATCATATGAAAAAAATAAGACAGTATATTCTGTATAAGTCTTTTTATGTTAAATCCTGAAAATGCAAGCTAATCTTAAGCAAGAGGAAAGTTGGTGGTTTATAGAAAGAGGAGGTAGAGGAGGAAGGGCCCAATAGAACATTTGGGATAGCATGTTTTCATGTCCTGATTGTGGTAATAGCAGTGGATTATACACATGCCAATCTTAATGTTGTATACTTTACTGTAATATAAATTATAGGGGAAAAAGCCCACTGTCTGGAGTCTTCTCTCCTTGGTAGACATCATTCTGAGTATATCAACACCTCTGCCTCTCCACATGTTAACTTCCAGATGACTCATTCCGGACTCGCAATACCAGTAGCGTCCCAGCCTCCTTTTCTCCCAATCCTGTTTTGCCCAGTACTTCCCGTGGGACAGGTAACACAGCTGATCCAAAGAGCAGTGGAGGTAAAGATGTGCAGCCTCGGAAGGCTACCTTGTGAGTACCAATTTCCCACTGGTGAGTGTGCTGTTTGACTCAGGGCACCTTACTTTCCACTTCCACACTTGAAAGAACTAAAAATGTCTCTAGCAAGGGAATGTTGTAAGATGAAGGTAAGTGAGAGCCTTGACTATGTTAGTGTGTGCAAGATATTTGATATTACCATGTGGCAAAGACATCATCTACTAGGTACCTAAATACCCACTAGTTGATGTATCTGATCACCTGGTATTCAGAAAGGTGGTTACAGCTGATGTCACAACGGCACGGGACCCCAGAGTGTGGGCTCGGTAGCTAAACATACTTGTAGACAATACTTGTGCTTTGAAGTTAAAGTTATAAAGGGCCTTCTTTCTTTCCCCATGGTTCCTTTGTGTACTGTTTGTTCCTTGTTTGAATTTGTTTCTTTTAGACCTTTAAAAGAATGATACCCTCAAAATCATTACAATAACACTGCAAGGATGTTACAGCTTTGTTCTTTTATACAGAACAGCCATTCAGATCACAATGAAATTTACTCATGGACTTTTCCTTTCTGTCTTTTCCTTCCTTCCTCTCTTCCTCCTTTCCTTCCTCCTTCCTTCCTTTCTGTTTTTGAGACAGGGCTCACTATATAGCCCACTCTGGCCTAGAACTTGAGACCTCTTGCCATAACCTCCCAAATGCTGAGATTAATTACAAGTATACCTCACCATGCCTAGCTTACATTTTTGAATAAAGTTTTTCAGCTACTTCTTTCTATGGAAACCCTTCTCTGACTGGCTGGAGTTTCTTATAGGAACTAGTTATATTATAATTCATTTTAAATTCTGATTGGCCATTTGGTATATACTTAGAAATATGTGTACCCCATTTCATTCAGAATCCAAAAGTAAAGATACTGAATGAAACTCAGTGGGACTAAATACTCCAGAAATAATCATAGCAACAGGTGATTCTGATATTGCAGAATAGTGGTGCCAACTTGAAGGGTGTTCTTTTTACAGAAAGCTCTAGTGCTGTTTAGGAGCTATAGGAGCAGAGGTGGCATGGGTTGGTGGTCTGCAGCACTCTGGGCTAGACTCATGTACCCACTCCAGTATGAGGAAAGTCACTGTGTATTGGTGAGCCTGGCCCTTGGGCTTCTGCACATCTGTCAAATAGCAGGTCTGGCCCATAGTTCCTTTAAGGGACCTCTTTTTATCCTGAAATCTCTCTCTTTAACCCCAGACCCTCTTTTTTTAAATTTTTTATTTGTTTTTTTTCTTATTCTTTTTAAAAAGGAAAACAAACTATCTTTTTTCATTAGAATCCAGACCCTCTTTTTTTTTTACTGCCCTGAGCTTCTCCTGAGGAACATAGTAGCATCATCAGAACTAGTTTTGTTTTTTAGAGGAAAGACTGCTGAACTGGTATTTTGTGGTAGCTTTCCTTTATTCCAGATACTTTGTCTGTTCTTATGTTGCTGAACATGTGTTTCCTTTTTGCAAACTGTATTTCCTATTTTCTTGTGTAACTGATGGTTACGAAAATGAATCCACAATAAAAACCCATGAGAACTCATACAGAATTTGTCCCTGTTTCAAGTGATCTGAAGGAAGGCTTGCTAGCATACACAGCTGCTTCTTCACACATGTCCAACTGTGCAGCACCTGGCTGTTCCTACACATGGTCCTAACATGTCTGTTGGTTGGATGGATGATTGGTATCTATACTGGCCTTTTCCCAGTGTTTCAGAGACTTTCATATCCAAATTGAAAAGAAAAGAAGTACTCTTTATTTAAAACAAGCCTGTGAAGTGATTGCAGAAACTGTTTCCTCAGTTTTTACTTCTTAGAAAAATTCTGTGCAGTGCATGCACTTGCTTTACCAATGACACCTCTGGTGCTGACAAGCGGTGTGTCAGAAGGGAAGTACAGGTGTGTGGCATAGCATCTGTCTTCTAGGCTGGACAGTTGATATTCCTATGCAATTTCCTTTATGGTCAGACAAAATCAAAAGTGTAGAAAAAGTTATGGAAATTGAAGGGGATGCTACTAGGTGTGCACAGGATGGTCTTTGATACTTACAGGTAATTGAGTAATCCTTAATGTGTAATTCATTTGTAGGCTTCCTCAGAGTAGCATTAATTTACATTTCTTTATTTACTTTATATGAATAATTGTTTCATGTCTTCTTTTTGATCTCCTTCTCCTTTTCTGCTTCCCTCCCTTCTCTCCTTCCACTTTATTTTCTTCTTTCATTAGAAAATCCAGAAAATCCAATCCTTAAGTCAACTGCTTGGTGAAGGAGACAAGCAGTCAGCAGACCGTGATGGTGGAAAAGAGCTCCAGGGATGGCCGGGCTTGTTAAAGTGTGGAGGGGAGAAAGGAACATTGTGAGCTGCTGTGAAATGTACCTTACTTGGAATTAGATTTCCTAGGAGGTATGACGTGTACTAGCGTGGGCTCTGAACCTCGGTGTCCAGTACAGTGTAATGAGCTCCAACTTGAGATGTGTACCCAGACTGCAGGAGAGACTTGCCTGTCTGTGAGAAGCTGCTCTTGGTTACTCTAAGTTGTACATTTAGAAATTCCATAGCAGTCTGGATTAGCTGATTGCTCCTTGGGTCGCAACCTGGGCAGGGACACAAGAGGTAAGGAAGGCACTGTATTTCCTCAGAGCTCTCTAAGCTGAGCAGAAAAATCAAACTGAACACTGTCCTATGGGTCCTGGGATCCTGTGACAGTGTCAGCACCTGGACAACCCCAGTCTAGATTCGGCCATGAAAATCTGCAAAGATTCATGAAAATTTTAGCTAACAAATACCTTAAAAATGATAGATTGATGATTTCCTTAATTTAATTCCCAGAATTTCTTTTATAAATGCTTTGTTTACATTTTGGATTGTATCTGTCCTTAATTTCAAATGATGAATCTAGTTTGAATCAGCTGTTATTCCAAGCTATCATGCTCACGCTACGCCAACAGCACCCATTTGTACTGATGCTAATACTTCCATCAAAATTTGTCTGTGGAACATAGATTGTCCTTAACTTTAAAATGTCGGTTCCTGAGATAGAATGTATGAAGCTATTGTCAGCTTCTCTATTTCAAATGCAATCAGCATATACCTATATTGATATCAGAAAATACTTGTTTTTTAAAGATATATTGATGTATGATAAAGATGATCTAATTTGTGAATGCATTTGTGTGCGTGGTTACTTTTTATAATGTGAAATGGATAATGAGCTTGTTTAAAATAAAGCAGAGGTTAATGAGCACTTGTGAGAAAAAGTTTTAAATACTTTCCTACAGCTCTTACTCTATAAAGAAAAGGCAGTTCATCTTTAAACAATGAGCAAGTGGCGCAGATTTGTGTTAACTTGAAAGGACTCTGGGACAGCTGCTTACTGCTTTTTCATTCTTTGTCATTTCTTTCCTTCCCTATGACCTCTTTAGGGATCATTGAGGGACTCATAACACCATTCATCAAAGACAGTCAGGTCAGAAGTGAGAGTTTAATAGCCATGAGAAATTTGACTGTTCTGCATAACGGAATTCAGTTTAACTAGTTTATGTCTCCTACTAATGTTAGTAATGTGGGATTGAATCTACTGTGGTCTGGAGAATTCATTGTGCATAAGGGGACCTCAAGGCTGCATCAGTTTTTCCAGTACTCTGGTTCAAAAAGTCGGCATTGACTTTGTCTACTTTAAATAAAATGGAAAGTTTCAATTTGATTGTTAAATAATACACTTAGTAGTTATAAACTTTTTATATTCTTGTTATATATGTGGAATAAGGGGGAAGTGATCTGACAGAATAGTCACCACTGCTTATAAAGTTGGAAGTCAATTGCTTAGGCATTAAATTCTCAATTAAAACAGTTATTCAAAATTACTTTTGGAAGTATTTCTTTTCACAAGCATTAAAAACTTTTAAAAAATTTGAATCTTTGTTAAAATTATATCCCAGAGACAAATATGCAGGAAGATTAAAATGCAAGTGGGTGGCAGATAGGAATACTCACTCATATCTTCGTTTTGTCAGCAAACCTAACCTCCTTGAACTAGGTGTGTTGACAGTGCTCTGCTCCATCTGCAGTGTGGCCTCCCTGCCGCTGGCGTTGCCTATGTTTGTTTCAGTATGGTTATAGCCGTAGGGTTGCTTTTCTAGATTTCATCTCTCAAAGTGGGAAAAGTGCCAGAACCCTCTTTTGAAATTCCTCTTTCTGGTCCCAGGTTCAATTCCCAGCATCCACATGCTGATTCACAGCCACCTATATCTGTGGTCCTATGGTATCCGAAGCTCTCTTCTGGTGTGCGAGTATCCATGCAAACAAACATCCATATACATAAAATAAATCTTTAAAAAAATAAAATTTCTCTTCCTACTCTTTCCCCACAAGCACAACCAAATAACTGAACACAAGTACCTATGAATGCCAGTTAGAGCCATCCTCTCTTGTCTCTCTTCTTAGGCCCCAGAGTTTTCTGGTCCTAAGTGAACATCTATTAATGCCTAGGATAACTACAGAGTGAGGTAATGTCAAGACTATGGTGAGAAAGTCTGGTTTAGACTGCCTCCTGTTCATGTTACTCTTGACTTACAGTCATTAAGTAACTAAGGAACAAATTAACTTTAGGTGTGTTTATTATTAGACAGCTGATAGAAGTGCTACTAAGAATTTTGTCAACATAGTTGACATTTTGAGACTAGTTAGCCTCATTCAGGAATCTCTGATTAATCCCAAAGTACTGTCTTTTTGTTTGTTTGTGTTTTAGAGACAGGGTTTCTCTATGTAATAGTCCTGGCTGATCTGGAACTCACTCTGGAGACCAGGCTGGCCTCGAAATCAGAGATCTGCCTGCCTCTGCTTTACGAGTACTGGGATTAAAGGTGTAAGCCACCACCGCCCAGTTCCAAAGTACTGTCTTATTTCTATAAGATAGAAAATGACTATCCAAGAATGCTTTAGAGGTATTTTCATTTTCCTTTCATATTGGGACAAAGTCCATGCTCACTTTTGTTCAACCACAGTGGATGATCAAAGCAGTCTCTGAGAGACTTTTAAAGAGGGAAGATGGAGACTTGAGACTAGAATAAGAAGGAAGGATTGGCTCACCATGGTCATACTGAATGGCCTTGGGCAAGTGTTTTCCTCCCACTGAGATATAAGATTTGATATATTCATCACGTACAGTGGGCACTATAGTCAAGGCCCTCCACATGATAAAGGCTCATGAAGATGTGTCCTTAATCAGCAATGAACAAGACATATACTTTTTGTTGGCAAAAGATAAATATAATTGAGACTGTATTCATTGCTGTAGCATATGTATTTATATGTACATATATAAACTCTTAGGAAGAAAGGAGTGCATAGAGGAAAAAGTGCCTGTCACTCCTGAAAGTCAGGATGTGGCCCTAGTTCTGGCCCATTTGTTTTCTGTATAAAATGAAAGCATTGAACTGGATGATCTGTGATTCCTGTGATGGAAATGTGTGACTAGATGTATCCTGGAGATGAGGGGGTATTGTTGAGTCAGACATTGTGATTAAGATAGATTATGGTGATTTCGTGCTAATTTTAATAAAAAGGAAAGAATTCTGTGATTAATTAAAACATGTTACAACACAAAAAATTCTGAGCATGGTGGCGCACACCTTTAGTTCCAGCACTCAGGAGGCAGAAGCAGGTGGATTTCTTCAAGTTCAAGGTCAACCTGATCTTCATAGAGTTCCATGCCAGTCAGAGCTATGTTGTAGGCCCCTGTCACTGGAGGGTGGGGTGGGGATGGGGAGGAAGAGAGAGAGGGAAAGAGAGAGACAGAGGAATTCTGGGATAAACTAAATTAAAACCCTGATTTTGCATGAGAGAGAACTAGAGGGAGAAACATGCCTGTAGGAGAATGCCCATGTGCTCCCCAGAGACACCAGCAGCCCTACCACTGCTCTCAACGTGCAGACATGTGAGCTGCAGAGAAGAATTCTCCTCAGCTAGTCTTCAGTCAGTCATCAAAGGCTCTCAGGAGCAAGTTTAAAATGCTGGACAGATTGCACAGAATCTCCTTAAAATATGAGTCATTTTAATTTCTGTGTTAGAGAACAGCCACAACAAACTGGCCAAATGCAGAGGAGAGCACACTCTTTACCATTCACCAGCAGTGTCCTGTGGTTCAGACCCCTCTGACTCAGCATCTGATCTGGCCGAGGCTTATACACGCCTGAGTCACAGGACAGTGGGGTTCACCACCCTGCCCAGAAACAGAAGCATCTTGGACATCTCCTCATAGATCATGAAATGAAAAGGTCGATTCACTTTGATGACAGGAGGCATGGAGTAAGCGACAATCTCAGACAGTGTCCCTGCCACTGCCTCAGTTCCTCTTTCATCTACTTCAAGCACTGATTGTTGTAAGACCTAGAAAAGGAAAGGACGCAGAAGACTATTTGTGTGGTAATGGGAAAAGGGAATTGACTGAAAATCTCCACAGTAGTTCTGCCCACCCAGCCATGTTCCTGGGGTTCAGTGTTGCAGCCTATCTTTGCCAAGAGGTGCATGAGATTGTGCCAGAGACTGCCTCATAAATCAAAACAAGACTAGGAGGCTATGGCAACCGGTGTGGTGTCTGTGAGATGCCTCCTAGGCTTAGGATCAGGGAAGCTGGCTGGTAAATTTCTACATGTGGGCATCTAGCATGTATTTATTGAACATGTACTTTGTGATGCTGATTCTTGAGCTGAGCTCCTGGGCCTTGAAGGCACTTTGGGCTGCCTGATATTGCTCTAAGGCATTTCCTGTGGGCAAACCTGAGGGTTTATGGTGCCTTCCTGGACCTTGGTTGTCTGTACTCAGACTGAGGTTACCCTGCTGGCTTCTACTTACATGGATACCAATTTAAATCTCTCAGAATTAACAATTATATTAGCAAATCTGAATCAAACCTTGTTTGTAATGATGAGGGACAGAGTCGTAATGAGCACAGGCCAGGAATGCTCACTAGTTCACTACAGTGCACAGAACTGCTGCAAGAACCAAGATTACTTCCCAGAAGAACACTAATTAGCTGAAGAGATCTGGTGTGAGCTAGCAGTGCTAGCCAGAAGGACATCAAAGGGTTTGGTGTGTCCAGGCACCTCAAGATATCTTTCACAGGTACCAGCTCTCATACATACAAAGTATGTGCTTACTAGTACCAAAGTTGAATAAACTTGTTCTCAGTACTTCAGAAACAGGACCAAAAAGTGTGAGTTGGTGTACTTACCAGTCAACATATTGCAAAATAATCAGCCATTTGTGTATTGGGCTGTTTTCCAAAGAAGGGATGAAATCCTTGTCTGAAGAATGGGAAGGAGGGGGGGGGGATCGGTGGGGAGAAGAAGAACAAGAGGTTCTTCTGAGGCTAATTATAGAGGAGGTAGAATGTCCCTCACAAGACGTGGCAGGTTGGGCCAGGTGATGACTAGAGGTTTCTTTCATACTAAAGGTGATATAATTTCTTGAGCCTTTTTGATATTCAACACAGGTACTGATGGGTTATAAGGCAGTCTGTATGAGGAGCAGATGCCTTCCTAGGCCTTGGGAGAGAAGAGGGATGGAGCTCTTCCAATGAGAACCTAGTTAAAAAGGTGTTTGAGTAGCATGGCTTAAGGTTCTCAGAACACCCGGCTTGGATGCTACTTCAAGTTTTTAGAAGTGGAGTAAAATTCCTTACCAAAGCTAGACATTTAATCACAACATGGTTTGCACAGTATTTGTTGGTTTCAGTGGCATTGCAGCTGAGGACTGGGCCTCAGCGGAGCCCCTGACTTGCCTTGGACACCTGAAGGTTTCTTGCCACGGCTGAGAGTTCACTGAGGTCAGCTGAGGTGGAAAAGATTCTCCTGATTCCCATCTGCTGGAGCAGCTTATGCATCTCATACCTCTGGTCCAGCTTGAACTTGGGGAAGAAAACTTCCATTTTCCTGTGGCACATGGACAGATGATGGTAAAATGGCTAGGGACTGCTGATAACAACATGGTTTCTTTCTTCCTCCAAGAATATTTCTCTTGCCTGACTTTACATAGCTCATGTTCTGTCTCAGAGAAAGTACTTTAGGCTTATGAAGAGTCAGTTTGTCTCCCTCCGTGAACTAGTTTCTTAGCTCACTATGCAAAATCCAAAGAATTAGCAAAGAATGCCACACTCCATGTCCATTTCCCTCTGTTAAAAAAGCAACCTCAACCAACTTCCTAGCTGCTTCCTGTATCCCTTCAGACTGCTGGAGGATGCTGTCCCAGCCCAGTACCTCAGACCAAGTATTCCCAGAGAACATGGGGATGAGCAGACAAAGGAAGCAAAAAGGGCTTTCAACTAACCCAGCCATCTTAGCCAGGGAGGCTCTGAGGTTATTTATTTTCCCTCAGAGTTCTCTGAGATGATGAGATTTGGAAAGATGAGTTTTGTGGCTCAGAAAAAAATTAAAAAGCTACTAATTACATCAAATTAATCTTAATTTTTAGTTTTCTTGCTCTATAAAGAGTAGTCAAAAGTGCATATACCAATATCAGAGTTAATGCAAAGAATGATTGACATATGCAAGGTGTCCAGAACAGTGTCTAGTATACAGCAACTATTCCATAAATATGCCCTTCCCCACCTTTCTCCTTGTTGCACGCTGGACCAGGTTTCACTCTGGAAATATCTGAGGATATGACACTTCCTAAGTGTTAATTCATAAATATAATCAGTCAACAGACATTTGTTAGGGCTAGTTCCTAAAGATTTGGAAAAAAAATGACAGAAAAATGAAAGTGAAACCTGCATCGTGGATTGAGCTCATCTCCGTACCAGTTCTGGAGTGGAAGAACTTGGAAGGTGCACCATGAGATTCTTATTGGAGCTGTCTGCCTTGCACTCCAGTGGGTGGACTGACTTCCAACAAACACCCGAATGTCTACCCTGCCCTTCCATCTCTTCTCTTCACACAGAGTCCCCTGTTTAATCTTACCTGCTCTTATGGTCCTAACCCAGGAAACCACTTGTCATTCCTAGAGTCAGACCCTGGTCTAGCCCTGGCCTGGTTTCCTTCACATAGAACTAGGGAGACTTTTCTAGTCCAGATGTTAGGACTGAGCTCTGAACTCACTATCAGACATATTCCTTTCATGTTCTTAGTAAGTATACCCATCCTTGAGATGCTGACGCCAAGATCTACAGATCTACAGCTACTGTTGGCTGACTGCTATCCCCCAGGACCCATGTCTCTATTTCTCTTTCTTTTTCTCCCCACCCATTCCTTATCTAGTCATCAGTATTGTCAGTTGTTGCCTCCTGACAGATCCAGAGTCTCATCTACCTCTGCCACCTCCTGCTACCATCATAGCCTAAGCGGTGGCGTCTTGAAGTACACGGCATCTACTGACTGACTTCCTTGTGGTCCTCATCCTTAGTGCCTGCTCCCAGCACAGGCTTTTGTGTGATCTTATCTTCAGATCTCCTCAAGCCTCTGTTCAGAACCCTCTGTGGCTCCCCAGCTCCTGCAGGCAAAGCCCAGGACTTCTGAGCTTGTGATGTGAGGTCCTGAGGCCTGAATCATCTCACCTCTTCTCCAATGGCTGCAGCGACGCTTTGCTGTTCCTCAGAGCCACCAGCTGTGCTTTATCTCAGAACTGCCTCTAAATACTCTTCCCCACAGATACACTCATGAAATTTACCCTTCATCACCAGATGAGAACATCCCTGGCTTTGGCCTGCACCTGCTGATGTGCTCCGTCCTCTCACAGTGTGGTCTCTCTCCCTTGGCCCAGATTCTTAACTGATACAACCATGACATCAAGAGGTATCTCAATAGGCAAATAGTTATATTTGCTGAGTTAATGAACAATAAACCTAGGCCTACACTGGGGATGCTGAAGATAGAATAGAAAACAGGACAGATATTGCTTCTACCTGTTGGAGCTTGGTACTCACTGGGGAGCACGGGCAGTAAGCCACAGGGCATTGGGTAAAATTGTTGGGAGTGATCATGAGGATGACAGGCCAAATCTGAGAGGCAGGGGAAGCAACATACCTGGTTTTCATATTCTGGAGCCATGTCTCCACGAGGTCTATGGTCAGGTAGTCCTCTAGGGCCAAGGGGTCACTTGTTTTCTCCATGAGGACCACTAGCATGGTGGCATTTCCTTGGTAGGGCAGTTTGAGGATGTGACAACGGAACTTCTTATCAAAGGTGGAAGCAAAGTTGCCTTCCCGATACATCATGGGCACCTTAACAGCCTTATATTTGTCCAGGTGGAAATTGTCAGCCTCGGTGGAGCCGGGATCAAATGGAGTCAGCCACTTCCCTGAACAAGTCAGAAGAAAGCCCCTATGGAAGCAAGCCTCCACAGAACACATTGGTTTTTGCTTGAGTGGTGGAGGGGAGACTATCCTACCTACCCTGTTTACTCCAAACAGGGAGTGCCACTCCTTTTTCAGGTTTGCTTGAACCACAGCCCAGGCAACAAATTCCCCAAAGTTCAAATTTTAGCTCTAACCATGACCCATCATGGAACCACCCACAAAGACAAAGATGTCCCCTCCTCTTATTTGTTTCCTTATTCTGGATCTGAACAAAACTTCATTTCCTGGTGATGGCTTCCAATGACTGTCTGCATGAGGGACTCCTGGCTACCACATGGCCCCATCATGCCCATATGGAAACATATACTTTACTGGTAGTAGGAGTTTTTCCAGTTCAACATTGCTTCATGTGGCTCTGAGAGGAGAGGCCACTACATGACTCTACTAAGTATCTTTTTGGGGGTTCTGGCAAATGGTCCTTCAACCTAGGGCTTTGTGAGTCTCCTGGTACAGCTTTAAGTACCAGAGGCATCCACACCATACCCTGTGGCTTGTTGAAGCTGGAAGAAATTGGGGTAATGAGGTTATGGGATCTTTCTTTGTAGTTAGCCTCTACCGTCCATTTGTGATCCTGATCAACCTAGCTTCTTCAATCTTCACCTGCATCCCCTTAAGAAAGGAGACAGTGGCCCTACTCTGCTTGCTACATTGACTACCAGGGCTAGCAAAGATACCACCTGTTCCTGTCCCATGGTGGGCAGTAAGTTCTAAGCACAATGTGCAGTACCTAGCATATGTCAGCTCTGGTGGCTTTATACCTATAGCAAGTTAGAATCCCAATTTTTATATTTAAAAAAATCTAAGATCAGGGTACTGGAGAGGTGGCCTAGCAGTTAAGAGCACATATTGCTTGTACAGAAGACTCAAGTGTGGTTCCTAACACCCATACTGGGTGGCTCACAACTACTTGTAACTCCAATTCTAGGAGGATCCAACACCTCTGACCTCTGGGTGTACCTGCACACAGATACGCATACATGCACTCACGCACGCACACACACTTTTGGCCCAGATCACAAAAACAGAGATTGGGAGATGCAGCCCAAGTCTCACTGACAGTGAGCTTCACATTCAATACTCCCGTGCTACCTCTTTCAAACATTAGGAAGAAAGCTGGGAACTGAGGAGCTGTGGGAACTGAGGACCACAGGTCTGCAGGTGGTAAGAGAGGGGCCTCAGGGAAAGCATCGTTCCCTCTTCAATGTATGCTGAACCTGTAAAGCAGAGCCCATGCTTGCAGAGCATCCTTTAGCACTATCTACACTGACCAGAAGAAGGAAAGGGAGAGAAGGTCAGGTTCCCATGGCTTTGCAGCAACAGAAGACTAACAAAATACCTTTGAACAAGATGTAGTCCACCAGAATTAACTTTGTTTCAGGATTAATCTCATCAAAGAGCTTGGGAATTTTTCCCCGAGTCTCTTTGTTAATGTAGTAGTTCATAAGCCCTTTGGCCTGTGAGGAATTTCGAAAATTTGTAGGCACACACTCTGTATCAAAATACTTCTTGGATAGATTGAGGTAGGTCTCTTTGATATCAAAGTCCTTGTGGATGAAGGCAAAGCTCCCCTGGGTGAGGTCCAGCTCCTGATTGCTGGAGAGGGTTTCTCTGAGCCTCTTGAAGAGGGATGGGAGGATCAGGGCTTCTGCCTGACTCAGGGCCTGTAGATGGAGCCCATTCTCCACCTGGACTTTGGTCTCTCCCTTGGCCCCCAGCATCAAGTTTACCATGGCCACAGACAGGCCAAATGGTGAAAAGATTACATTGCCATCGTGCTTCATAGAGATCTTCCGAAGCAGGCTGAACCCAAAGTTTGAAGTCTCATTGGAGAGCTGCTGCTGGCTAGTCCTCAGCCAATGTTCTTCCTCCTCTTCATTGCTGGGAACCCAAGTCTGGTTCTGAGGATCCTGAGACTTCAACTCTGCCTGGGCCTCTGGTAAATGGGAGCTGAAGTTTAAACTGGTCACCAGACACACCTCTGCCAGGAGGACAGGAAGCAAAAGGCTAGAAGCTGCCCTCATATGCACAACTGTGGAGGCCAGGGGCCACTTTATCCTGGAAGAGAGAGAGAGAGAGAGAGAGAGAGAGAGAGAGAGAGAGAGAGAGAGAGTCTTAATACCTAATAAAACATCTTTGCTAGGTGTGGGCTTCCCTGGGTTCTTGCAGGTTAGCTATATCCTAGACTGACCTGGAGCAGATAGGTTGGGGGACACCACATTGGGGGGTGGTTACAAACCTTCTTCCAAGTCCTGTCCTCTGCCAGGTTCTTGAGCAGCTTGTGGTTCCTCCCCCAGTTTCTGCTCACTGGCTTTCCTCCGGCAGGGCTGGGTATGGCTCTTTTCTATGGAATGGGCCTCAGAGCAGGACCAGGTGGGAGTTAGGGCCATTGACTGATCTGCTTCAGGCTTTGCCTTTATCATTTGACTGCAGATATATCATGCAGCCCCTCCATGCTGAGCCACAGGACCTCCATGGATGACACCTTTGACTGTGGGTTTGGAGGGTTTAAGAGAGAGTCTGACCAAAGGAAGGTGTCCCCACGTAGAGCTTTGTGGTTTAAGCCCTTCCTCCTCTACATGTCCTGTACACAGTTCCTGGAAGGGCTCCTCCCTTTCTCTACCCACAGCCCAGTGGAAGCTAACTTTGCCCTGGCAGTGGCTTTCTAGCACCATACTCTTCCCTCTGATGTCAGCCGCTACCTTTCTGAAATTTCCTCTTCACACTCAGATCCAAAATCTGGCTCTGGGACTATGCCATTCAATGTATTCATCCATATTACCAGTATCCTAGAGTCTGACATATATGCCACTAAGATGTCCCCAGTAGTCCACTCTCCGCTGGCCCACAGGAAGGCCTGGATAACAGGATACCCAGGCCAGCAGGTATCCTGTGGGGGATGCCTGACAGTTCCCATCAGTAGAGCCCCTCACTCTGACCATGGGACCCCAAGTCAGAATGTGACAAGCAGCTTCTGAACTGCTCCCAGTCCCTCTTCTGTACTTGTCACAATCCACATCCAACCCTAGGACACAGATTCTTGCCACTTGCTTTGCTAAATGCCCGCACAGAAACCAGTGCCACCCTTGCCTTCCAACCTGAATGACTCGCTGGGTTTCTCAAATGTCACTATTTGCTTCCCAGTGTTAACGGCAAGGTCACACTTTGTAGGCCACCACATTGCTGTAAGCATTGGGTTGTTACCTCCTCCCAGGTACAAAATATCCCTAGTATCATGCCTTCATTTTGGTTATGGACACCATACCTCTGTTCCTTCACAGCTCATAACTGAAGCCCTACCCTCTAAGTTGAGGGTATGGCAAGGCGGGGCCTTTGAGAGGTGGCTGGAATAGGTCATAAGCATAGGGAGATGGTGCTAGTTTGTGTCCTTAGAATATGAGACACTGGAGACTTCCTCTCACCACCAAGGACACATTGAGAGGTCAGCCATCTGCAAACCAGTAAGTGGGTCCTCACCACACCCAAGCATGCTGCCCCTCATTTTGGACCTCTAGAACTGTGAAAACATATTTGTTAAGCTTCCTGAATTTGTTACTTTCTGTCCCAATAGCCCGAGCTGCCCAGGAGAATTCCATCACTGTGTTTAGCTCAGCTTTGTGACTTACACCCTCCGATTATTCCTGGTTTCATAGTTGCTTCTGATTGTCTCAGCCATCAGGGAACTTTGCCAGCGCACCAGCTCGATGTCACCCTTTCCTAGGACTAAGTCTCACTGTTCCTGAAGTAGCCCTGTAATGTCTGTTACCGGTGTTACGACACCTGCTTACTGAACAGTGTAACCTGTCCTTTCAGGTCTTTGTTCATCATGGGAGCCATCCACAATGTATGCGGGCTGCTCCCGGGATGGTGCTCCTGGGAGTGGGGCACCATCAGGTGTGCTGAGGACACACCTGCTCACACGGAGCCTGAACAGCAGGAAATGGGCTGTTGACCTGACACTCAGCTCTGAGCAGCGTGTGTGGAGCAGAGCCTCCCGCGCCTCTCCCCAGCCCTGGTGAGACCAGGCTCGCTTGCCTGGGCAGTGAGCTATGGCAGACAAAGACCAGGTCTTCAGAGCCATTCCCCTGGATGCCTCCTATCTCTGGCTGACATGCCTTTTATGCCACCCCATAACCAACTTGGATTTATAGTCCTTTGGGGTCTAAGCTGAAAGACAGCATGCCTTCCCCACAGATCTCACCTTGAAGCCCACTAGAAGAGAGTGGAAGTGGTGCTTCTCCCCACCCCAGCCCTGTTAGACATGCAGGAGGGCCCCCGCCATCCACCGTCTCTTACCAGTTCCGACCTCTGGTGTTAAGAAGATCATTCAGAGCAAAGAGGCATGCAGAAGCTTGCGGCCCAGAGCCTTGTGCAAATATTTGTTATTCCAAAGTGTGGTTCCCTTGGGGTGTTACTGATTAACACCCTGCTGGGATATGGTTGACTTTCTGGAAATTCCGTAGGCTGATCCTGTGGCCCCAACAATAACCAGAATTTGCAAGAGGCTCACCCTGATGGGGTGGGGAGTGAAGGTTCTAGAAAGAAGGTTATGGTGGGCCTCATGGCTACTTCTGGGAGTCATAGGTGAATTTGGGTGGAATTTAAGACCCACTGCCTTTTCCCCAAAGAACTGTCAGTCCAGTGCTAGAGACCGGGTTCCTACTGGTTCACTTCTTCCAACAAAAAGCCTGTTGCAAGTTCCATATACGACAATCTGTGTTGAGACTGGCCCTCACGAGCAAGCGCTGATTCAGAGCTGGAAAAGACTCTTTAAGACACAATAGCTGGTTGTCATGTGTCAGCTTTGTTATGTATCCCTTCCTATTCTTGAGATGAGACTTAAAGTCAATATAGCTTACCCAAAGAATAGGAAAACAAGTAATAGGGTCTGGGATTGAAGGTTAGTTGGCTGAGTGTTTCTGGGTTTCATCTGAGAGATTGCTTTGGAACAGTCTGTGTATAGAGGTGGGCATCTGACATAAAGTGTGATTTCATGGACTTACTGACAAAAGCATGACCCTTGGTGGTATCAAGTCCAAATGCATCCAATCACTGGGACCAAATGGGGCTACTTAGTTGGCTAGTCTGAGTGACTTCATTGTGCTGGAATTGTCTTAGATTAGAGTTTGAGTCAGGCCCATTTCTGGTACCAGGATCCTGTTGCAGCACTCCACATACCCTGAAACAGTTCTTCTGTCTATAGACAGCTAGAAAATTACACAGGGAAACTAGCTAGGATCGTGCTGGGGCAATCGTGGTCATTGCAGCTCAAGATGGATGCAGGCATGCCAAGCTGAGTTCTTACAGAGATTGTAAATTGCCTCATCTTTGCAGGGTACTTAGTCACTTTCTTCATTCCCCCACACCTTTTACATTTGTGCATGTCCCATGTCATATTTTCATATATATATGTATATATATATGTATATATACATACATACACACACACACACACACACACACACACATATATATATATATATATATATATATATATATATATATATATATATATATATACTAAAAGAGATCCATGGATTCTCAAGAGTCAAGAGTATTCAGTACTTTCTCAATTCAGGACTGGTTTATTTTTTTCATTATGCTTGCACTTATGTATATCTCTAAGGATGCATTTATGCCTCCAATCCATATCTAGCCCCATAGGACCATTCCTTGCCCCCCTTTCCCTCCCCTCCCTTCATCTTCCCTTCCTTCCCTTAGTCTACCCTTCCGGTCCCTTCTTCCCCTGTCACTCTATCTACTTTTGTCTCTTTGCTTATCTCTCTCCTCTGTCTCTGTGTCTTTGTCTCCTCTGTCTTTCTCTGTCCCCATCTCCTTCATCTCTCTGTTTCTCTCTTGCTTGGGATAGAACCTAGGTCCTCACACATCCTAGGCAAGCACTCTCCCACTGAACTGTATTCCAGCATTATTCCTTGCTGTCTTAGCCCGTATTTGCATTTCCCTTCTTTGCTCTGTCCCACCGGCACATAAATAATATCACAGTGTCATATGCTTACGCCAATCTGGAAGCAAATCTGCAAAGAAAACTTGGAGATTTGCTGGCAGTGTTTTCTCCTTTAAACTGGGAGCAGATGGTCCAAACGCCATGTTCAGAAGATCCTTGGCTCAATTCTTTCTCTCTCCTTCTGTGTGGTTATCCGAAATGTGCTGCTATGCTTATCTTTTCGTTTGGCTTTGAGACTTTTATCATCTTCATTGTACTGTTGAGTCTGTAAAATGATACTGTTATGCCCAGAGTCTAAGCCATATGAAAAGGTGCAGGAGGAGGTGCACCATTGCACACCATCCCTCATACTCTCATCTGACCCTTCCCTGTCTCCTGAGCATCATTTAACCACTTTCTTTCCGGCTCTTTTTCTTTCATTTCTTTATGTAAGGATAAACATATGTGTTTGTCTTTCTTATTTTTTTTTTTACGAAATCATGACGACACCTATAGGAACTGATACTTCTTTACATGACTTCACAGTATTCTAGCGTTTACTCAACAAATTTCCCAGGTTTAGGCTTTAATATGATGTCTAATGTTTTGCAACTGCAAAACACTTTAGGGAGATTATTTTTTAAAACTGCCAAATGTGTGTCATTAGCTTAATTTCCTCAAAGTCAGGCTTCTGCATCAAGGGTAAATGCTTAAAATCATAAGGTTTTGTTTCGTTTATTTTGTTTTTTAGAATAAAGTTGGAATTGACTAAGAGGAGATTTTAATGTAGATTTAAGCATGAACATTAAATGGGAGAGAAGTATGAGAGAAAGACAGCACATGCCTTGAGGTTGTGTGTGCTTGTACACACAAGCACACACAAGCACACACACACACACACAATGACCACTTGGGGTTGGAGTTTTATGAGTGTGTATTGTAATCTATATATGTGTGTTTGAGAGCTTCGACTGCTCTTGCAGAGGACCTAGATTTGGTTCCCAGCACCAACACGGTGGCTCACAGTCATTGTTAACTCCAGTTCCAGAAAATCTAACACCCTCTTCTGACCTCCATGGGCACCAAATATGAATATGCTGCACATACAAAAGACAACACTCACACACGTAAGATAAATAAAACCTTTTAAAGAAAACACTGCATTAGATGCAAGCTAACTCTCAGAATGTATAAATGTGACAGAATTAGGTGAACTAGTCTTTGTGGGTGTAATCAGGTTAAGGATGGTAGGAAGAGATTACTGGCTTGGATGATGAATATTCCCACAAGAGAAAGGCAGAGGGGGCCAAAAGGCAGAGAACCATGAGTGAGGAAGGCCACATGAAGATGGGTGCAGAAACTAGAGCTGTCTCCACAACCAAGGAATGCAGATGGCTGCTGACACCTGCAAGCTAGGAGGGAGACACAGAATGATAGGCCTTAACCTTGACCTTAGCCCTCCCAAACTGAACTGCATGGCTTCTGTTGTTTAAAGCTATTTAGTCTATGGTAATTGGTTACATCCGCCTTAGAAAACAAACACCAAGCAGATTACCAACTTCTCTTCGCAGGGAAAGTCTGGCCTCTACTAAAGAAGAATGAGATGGGCCGTTTTCACACCCAGCCACACCCCCATCTATTCACATTTGCTGCTGTCCCAGTACTTAGCAAATGGGAATTCGGGGCAGTTTTAGTTGGTGACTTTTAAGTGAGGTTGAGCATGTATCCAAATGTTTAATCACTATCTCTATATTTGTGTTCATGTCTCTCTGCTCATTTTGTATATATATTTTTTTAATTTTTCATTAAATTACAAACTAATTATCACATATGGTAGTGTCAGCATTAGTTAATTTTCTCATTATTTTGACAAAACACCCAACTGAAGCTATCTAAGGAAGGGAAGATTTATTTTGGCTCATGGTTTCTATCCATCATCTCAGGGGAAGACACAGTTGAGTTCTTATTGCTAAAAGCATGTGATAGACACTCCCCACATCTTAGTGGATCAAGCACTAGAGAAAAAAAAGACTAGAAACAGGGCTTACCTATAGTCCTTAAAATTCTGTTCCTAAGTATCCTGCATCCATGAAGTAGGTTCTATGCTCCTAAGGGACCATAATCTCAACAGAATCACCAACTGGATATCATATGTTTAAACATATGAGTCTACGGGGAACATTTATACCCAGGCCATGTCCTTGACATGGCTTATAGCCATCTGATAATGCAACATTCACTTCAATACTCCCCAAAGTCTTAACAGTTTCAACACTGTTCAAAGGTCCCAAATCCAAAGTCTCTTCTGAGACTCAAAGCAAACTCTTTGCCGCGAGCCCCTATAAAGTCGAATCATGAGTTACATCCTTATTCTGTACGGTAACACAGAGTATATGTCTCCATTCCAAAAGAGACCAGAAGGAGAACAAGGAAAGACTGGGCCACGGTGAGAACCCCAAACCAGCTGTGACAAGTGGTGACATTGTTTAGGCTCCAATGGGCCTGGTTAGTCCCATTCCTGTGTCTCTGCTGCCTGTGGCACACATGGCCTCAGGAGTCCCAGCTGTCACTTAGTCTTTCCCTAAGCACATCTCTCACACACAGAACTCAGTTCTGTTACTTGTTGCCTACTCTGATTGGTTTTCCTCTAGAACTTCAATGCAGGTCTCCATGGCCCCATAACCCTGGAAATTGTTGAGCCTGCAGACAGCCCCAGCTATATGACATCAACATCTGTGCTCATCTTGAGACTAGCTCATCATGGCTCACTTGTACCATGGATGCAGCATTCCCTGAATGCCTGTGTGGCTGAGCCTGAGAAAATACCCACCTCGGTGGCTGTTTGAACTGTGTGCCTGCGAGGCTCAATCTTCTCAAGCACTCACTTTTAAAGGAATGTGTTTCTAATGACTGCATTTTTATACCCTGGATCCTCAGATGGAGGGCAGGACCCTCTTAGGGTACATTTCTTATGGTGCCCGA